AATAGAGCTGCGACGTCATTGTGCTACAGGCAAGCTCCATCCTCTCATCACAAATTAGAAAGCGGGGCCCAGTCACTGCCTCGCTTCCGAGTCTGACTTGTAAATGGTCTTTTTATTTAAGGCATCCTCTTTGTCTCACTAATCAAAGATGCCTCTTGTTTGAAATGCGGGTGAATGAAATGGAGGATGGGATGATGGATAGGAGAGATGGATGGGAGAGAGGAAAGGTTAAGGTATACGGTGAAAAGGGTTTCTGTTTAATTCATTGATTCAGTTTTGATTAGGAGTTTTAAACAGCTGGGGTTTTGGATATGTTATCTCTTTTTTTTCAGTATCAGTGACGAACCTTATCAAGTGATAACTAACAAAGACAATGCAAGGGCTTGAGTTCAGAATACATATTTGGGAAAACAAACTAAAGATAAAGGAAATATCCCCTATCGGCTAAAACATTTGACTATTGAGAAAATTAGCACGTACCCCCATTCTCTAATAGACACAGTAGGTAAGCAGCGGTATGGCAGTGTTTGATCCAAGTGTATGAAATTATGATGACACTGTGGCTGACCGCAACAGACCTCCGTATGGTTTATTGTTGATTCTATATCTACTTACAAGTGCATTGCATCTGTTGCTGCATTTGTGTTTGTGCTGGATTCAAACAAGAATCAAATAAACCAAAAGAGCTTTGTGGCTATGGGAAAAAAGAGACACTAGATTAGAAAAAGCCACGGCAGGTTTGAGGAATATTGCTCTACACATATCACACATCTGTGTGGAATAACAAGAAGACTAAATGGAGATATATGTACAATAAAAATCTTTTGCTACAGACAGGAGAAGAGGAAACTGGGACCGACAGACCGCTTCTGTTGAGATGGAGCTTTGATGGATTACATGACAGTAAATGAATATTCCTACAATGATACGCTTCTCATTCAGTAGTCAGGAGAAGCTCTCTATTTGTCAAACACCTCTGCCTCTTTGCTCTCCTTTATGCCAATGGCATCGCAGGGGGATGATAACAATTCTGTAACAGCAAGGTTGATATAATTATGCAGACACTCATGAATAATTTGCCTGGACTGTGTATATTTTCCAAAGCCAGATTATGCTAAACTTAAGTGCAAAGGTTCTCCAGAGGTGCTTCAAAGTTGTGCAGGTGCAATTTAATGTGTAATGACAAAGATGCTATAAACACTTCAATGATGTGTTTGTAGCAGTTTTCTGTTTCTGTTTCCATAATAAGCATTGACTTTGAAGAATGTTTGAGTCAGAAGGGGAAAGGTAAATCTCTAATAAAATATTGACCAAATAATAGTGCTGTGGCCAATTAAAATTGCAGCTAGATGTCAATATAGCTGTGCTGACAGTGTGTCTTGTTCAAAAGCTATAATTGCGATCAGTTTTTTTTCTAGAGAGAGCCGTCTGGCTTGTGAAGAAATGTGATACATGTTACAAACACAAAAACAGGAAACAATGCATTGAAGTCTTGTCTCAGCATGACCTTATGGTAGTAGTTGGGCTTTGTTTTCGCTCTGAAATACAAAAATTAAATTTAATTGAAAAAATTGTTTGATATTTTGGGAAATATCAAATGCTTTTTTTTGCTTTTAAGACATACAGACTGAAAAACGTGAGAAACAGATAGCCTGGCTGAAGGTTCTGAAGGTAAGGTACTTTTTTTACTGAAGGTAAAAAAAAATCAGCACTTCTAAAGTTCTTTAAATAACACATTGTACTATACAGTACATAATGTATATAATTATATTTTTTTGGTGTGTAGATTTTGTTACCTTGGACAGAGCAAGGCTAACTGTTTTCCCTTGTTTCCAGTCTTTATGTTAAGCTAAGCTAACTGGCTCTATCCTTATATCTACCAGACAGAGAGTGATATCTGTTCTAGTCTTACTCTAAGCAAGAAAGCTGGAAGGCATACGCCTTTAAATGTGATGTTTACATTTACATTTCATTTCATGTTTGTTTTTTGGATGAGAAAATCCTATTTGGAGTGTAAATGACTGCCAAATCAATTGGTGTTTAATGTAGTGTATCCTCAGAGATATTTATCCTTAATCAACATGACAACACTGTGCGATGATCTGTTACATTACTAAATTGGCTTACCTTTCAAATAAGCCATATTGTTTTCTCTATCACATCGTCTGTTTTCAAAAGGTGAGTCTTAATGATTGCTGATTTATTTTCAGCACAGCCTGATCGGAAGAACACAGTCTGGCTTTAGCTCTATCTTTGGTCAGAGACACTGAATTCCAGTTTAATTTATTTCTACTAAAAGAGGGATTGTTTGCAATCCAAAAATATCTTTCATCTCTCCTTGGCTGGAAGTCCATAATCAAGCTGGAACTTGTACATTCCAGAAATTAATACATAAGGTGCGCGGCAAAGTCAACAGCCCTCTGCCCTAAGTATACTGCATGAAATGTGTGAAGATTTATAATTATGAGTGGGCTGCCCATGGTTGTCTCAGAAAAGCTTCTTCAGAAGAAATTATTCAATTTCTATGCCTCTATTTGAAATGTGTGCATTTGTCTTCAGTTGCTTAAAGAGATCTAAATTGACAGGCAGGAAGAATTCTCTTAACTCCAGCTTGGTCGTTTATGATGCTTTGAAAATCCCTTTTGAGGCTGTATCACACAGAGGGTGGATCCCTCAGGGGGAAGGGTGAGAAAAAAAGAGAGGAAATGGATTTGTGGTCAACAAGTTACGTCAACTCATCAAAGCATAATAATTACTCATTTTATATTCTATCAATATGTTCCCATTTATCATAACTCAGATTGAACTCAGCTCAACCACTGATCAACAACAATCAATATCTTGTGTTTCTGGGTGACTGCAATGTCCGGCAGCATCCAGCATTCTGTATCATCAAAGCTCGGTCCACAGCCAAACATTTCTGATCAACCCACCTTCCAAACAGACAGGATCAATCAATCAACAGAAATATCTGAATTAATTATAAAATACTGCTATCATCAGCAACTCGCAAATCAGAAATAGCTCTCCTCCTCACCCAGTTGTTTTAAGTGTGAGTGACTTGCTTGATGGACAGAGAGCTTGACATTCATCAAATTGCTTTGATTTTGGTCAACACTTGATGACATAATATGCTTTACACTAGGGGGAGACAAAGACCCTTCATAGATAGACAAGCATTGAGTGCTGCAGATTACATGATTAATGACTTAAGGTCTTATTTTATGATGTCAGAATGAAATAACAGCTGCAAATCATTTGGTCATTCTTAAGCAAACAGTGAGAAAGTGTTGTATGTGTCAGCATACAACACAGTCAGCAGGATATTGAGCTACTAAATCCCTTTCTGTCATCAGTGACACTGTATAGGATTAGCTATTTCCATTTACGAGCAAAGAAAATTAACTCCACTTTAAGTGTTTATGGCCACAGTTAGTCAGTGTTCTTGGTGTGACGTGACTTAAAACGCTTACCAGAGCACATCGATGGTTGGGGTCTGGTAGTTTAATTGAAATGTATATTTGCAGAATGTGGGCCATATTACTGGGTTGTATCCTCAGGGAGGCAGATTGTAACAATGGAGATGGAAGGTGGAGAGACACAGAGAGGTAGGGAGGGAGAGAGAGAGGAAGGGGAGGGTACAGAATTGCACTTTCACAACAGATCTCAAAGCTATAATGCCATATTGTAGGAGTGTTTATGGGATATGTCCCACAATCAATAACCAATTTATGTGATCTTAATGGATGGATAAAGGGTTCCCATGTTACATTAGCCATTCAGAAAGTATACCTGACCTTGGTAAGCTTGTGGAGGCATTTCTTTTGTTCTGGCAAAATCTACCAAGCCTCTTTCGTTCGCTGGGTGACTGGTGGCTTCCTTGTATTATGTGCATAGAAAGTAATGAACTGCTCTACATTTTTTACGGCGAAGCCTTAGCAGAAATCAATGTATCCCAACTATTGCATGTATTACAGTGTGTAACACAAGAGGATGGCAAACAAACTGAGACCTCTCACAAAAATCAGAGGCACACGCAAAAACACAGTAAGGCAAAACATCAGGAAACATCAGCTTAAACGCATGTCGAGATCCTTAAGTTGGCCGTAGCATGAGCATGAGTGCCACTGAAGTGCGGGTCTTTGATTGCTGGATGATTCTCGGGTGAGTCACAGGTGAGTAGGTGTGATAGGCCTGCCAAGTGGAGACACACACACACACACACACACACACACACACACACACACACACACACACACACACACAGGACAGACAGGTGACAGACAAGAAACACAAGGGAGGGGAAAACAGAAACGCTAGGAGCTGAGAGAGTGGCAAAGCCAATCATGACAGCATGATAATATCTTTGCCAGGCAATCTGCCTTGCTACAGGCATGTCTTGGTTGCTATAACAACAGCTGCTGCTATATCTGTCCCTGCTGTGGGTCACGGCTTGCTAAAAGAGCAATGTACATCGCCTCTCTCTCAAAGTGACAGTCTTTTTCCTTCCCTTTCTCTCCTTCAGTACCTTCGCCTTTTACTGTCTTTTCCCATCTTCCACATCCTCTCTTTTCTGGACCAGCTCTGCTCCGGCTGAGTAAAACCCTGCTAACCCTACTGAGTAAAGTCCGGCTGAGTAAAACCTTGCTTAACTCACTGCATCTCAGCAAGACTGACAGTTAAAACACAGCGCTCACTTCAAGTAGAAACAAATCGAAAGTCTTCTTTGTTAGCTGCTTTTCTGCAGCGTTAATAAGAGCTGGAAACACCAGAGGTGTTTATTATGATTGATGTGGAGCCCATTTTTCATTTCAACACCACCACAGTCACAGATAATAGGGAGAACATAAGACAGAAGCTGCTGTAAGTCAATACTGCATTTTTCTCTCAACATCCTAGTAAAAGTCTAAAAGTGGACTCATTGTATTGTGCCGTTTTAATGCATCTGTACAATTACACCAAAGTAAGAACTTTTCAGTAAACAGAGGAGTTGCAACACAGACAGTGGAATGCATTGTATTTAATAGTTCAAAAGCAGCTCACTCACACAGGAGATATCATATCTGTAATAGACACAACAGCGTGATATGATTGCATCATAAAATATATACATTTCTACAGTGTAGTACTATAGAAATAGGCACACATTTAGTCTCAATAGCAGTGCTAATGTAGAACACCAGCAACAGGCAAAGCTTAATAATAAATGTTTGAGTAACTGTATGCAGTATGACTTAACCTACTGAATATGCTTTGACATTAGTGCTGAACATGGATTAAAGATTTATACAGGGGAGAGTTTAGGAAAGACTTCTAGATTAATTCAGATCATCTGAAATAGAGTGGCTTGATAGTTCCATTACACTGTGGCTTTACTGATACATACAGCCGAGAAATGCACATCCGTACAGTATAAAAGCTATGCTATTCATTTTCCTTAAAAAGACATAAAAAACATTGGCCAATACAAATAAAACTGTGAATGAAAATCTCAGCGTGGATCTATAAAACTGTGACAACACAAATGATCTAAACAAGTACTACAGTATCAGTATGTAAATTGTGAATAAGAGCCTTGGCAGCAGTAAGACAGCGTCTCTTTTTGGATCTTTTGTTTAAAGCTTATAAATCACAGAGGCACCACTAACTACTAAGAAAATGTTTAGTAACTCTACACACTAGCATGTCCAAATGTACCATGGCTGGTATTTATCTGATAATAAGCGCAGGACACTGACGCTTTTGTTCTTTAACCTGCTATATTTGTGAAAGCATTTGATTTCAGATGCCTGGCACGAAGGTTAAAAAAATGAAGGGAAAAGGAGGAGAAAAATTTAGCACTTGGACATTTTTGACTTGTTCTTCACAAGACACGGTCGATACACAGGGGAGGTCGGTTGGCAGGATTCCCATGGCTATCTGGCAGTAATGACACCTTCATAGTGGCATGGATGAAAGGTTGTTGAATCTATGCCTGTTTCCGGCACATGACACTGGTCCCATCATGACTGTTTAATACCTACAAAGAGGAGAGCACATCTTATTCAATATGAAAATGATTTCTATGCTAAATAACCAGTGCCATAGCTGTAATAATAAACAATATACCAATTCAACATCATCTACTTCACATAAACAACTGTGTTCTTTAGGATTATCATAAGTCAGGAGCCGTACTTCATATACATGCAAATGCCATACATTTGAGATCACCATAATTTACTATCTTCACTATGCAGACTGAATTGCATTTATTTGAAATGGTCATGCTCATATTGAACAGTTGAATGAAATATAAAAACAAATTATATCAGTTTCCACAGATGAGACATCCAGCCTTTCTTGCAATACATACTGTATAATTTGAAACTTGATGTCACACTAATTACCTTACATCAACATTCTGTCATTCCTTGTGGAACATTTCTTGATAGCGAGAGAAAATGTGCACTTAATGGAGAGTGAGTATGAATGAAGGATTTGTGATTAGGCAAAAATTCCACAAATGCCAGGAATGAGAGCCCTTTTGAAGGGAATGAGCAAGAGGACAGTCAAAGAATGTTGGAGCAGCAGGATTCAACTACAGAACTCCATGAGTAATACAGGTACAAACAATGAGTTGGGTGGTGGGGGGTGATTTCACTGATCTGGATTAGGTTGAGAGTTACATGTAAAATACCGTTTCACTGACAACCACTTTTATTCGGTAACAGGAGCATCTGGATTGGCTTTCTGCTCAGAGGGAATGGCTAGGTAGTTTGTCCTGCAGGCAGATTGGTAGAAAAAAAACACACACACACACACACATTATATATATATATATATAGATAGATATAGATATAGATATAGATATATATATATATATATAGATATATAGATATATATACACACACACACACACACACACACACCACCACCATATACCAAAGAATAGTGCTGGTTAAAGTGCGAGGCTTTTGTGCATTAATATTTATCCCTAATTCATGATGCCACAGCTATGTACACCCCCAGAGGTAATGGGGGTGTACATAGCTGTGTTTTTAAAATATAATAACCACAACTGTAATGTGAGCAGATGGGAGCTGCTGTACAGGCTACACATCAGAAAGACAAAACCCCGCAATACTTTCACTAAATATGTACACAATTCAATAGAGCTGCACAGAAACTGTGAGTAGACTAGTTTTGTGACTCTGTAAGCAAATTTCAGACATAGCCAAATTTTGTATCTCTGTGACAGATCATCACTTTTGCTGCTACGTTTCATCTTTTCCCTCGGTAACATGATCTGAGGCACTAATGCATCACAAAATGTAACCTCAAAATGTTCTAGCCATGGTACATCTCCATTAAGCCCGGGAAGCTAAGAAGCCAACCACAGAACAGCCTCTTTAAGTGGGTGTACCTTCTCACTGTGGAATGTGTTGTCATATAGGTCAGTAATGGGTGCTAGGTAGCCACAACCCACACTAACTCTTTCAGCTGCAGGAACTGATGAAGTTCACAGAGTAATACACATTTGATCACTTAATGCTTAATTTAATGTGCACTTCTGAATTGTCCCCAGAGTCTTAACCAAAATGATAAGGCAAAGTGGGATGTAATTTATTAAAAACATTAGTCAACAACCCTGTAATGGCTTAAATGTGCTGCTCAATGTTGCATCTATCTGTACATCACTATCCATGTCCATTATTATCTGAACTTCCAATAATGTTTTATCCACAATACTGCAGTTATTTAAAATATTTTAGAAGAAAATATATTTTAGTAGAAAAATATCTTCATTAAATAAGTACTACCATTGTGAATCTCATATTGTTCAATTTCGTTTAATAAGGCTGCCACTATAGATTATTATCAGTTGATTTACTGATTATCTCTAAATTAATAATTTCATCAACGTCAGATCAGTATTTTCCAGTGCCCAAGCGCCACCTTCAAATAGCTTTTGGCTGATCAACAATCAAAAACTTACAGTTAACTATCATATTTGGGAAATTTGAATATTTGAGCAGCTGGACCATGGATCTTTTGATTTAAAATATTATTACAGTGTAAAATTTCTGTTGATCTATAACTTAACTAATCTTTAATTTTAAGTCAATTTGTTTTTTGAGGCAATAGTTTGTGCTACAGTTATTGCACATTTTATTTTTGTCATTTAGTTTGGTAATGCTTTCTGTTACAGGTTTACAACTTTTACACAGTTTGATCTAAAGATTTTCCTGAAAGAAAACTTTGTTATAACAGTTTTTTTTTCAATTTCTTAAACACTATAACCAGGCAACCAACTAAAATTTCAAAACCGTAACTAATTTTTCAAAAAGCTCACCCATTTTCCTAAACTCTACACACAAATCCCTTCATTTCTTATTGCCTACACCATGTGGTCATTTAGAAAGTCAGGTCATTCAGTTTTGGAACAACGGATCCAGAGAGATGTGAAGGAAGAGGCAAAGGACACCAGAAAGGAGGAGGAAGAGGAGGAATAAGAAGATCAGTAGGGAGAGGAGGAAGATGTGAAGGAAAAGGAGGAGTAGGAGGAAGAGGAGGTGGAAGAGGTGTAGGAAGAGGAGGAGTAGGGAGGAGGAAGATGTGGAGGACGAGAATCTCTGGCCTGTTCCAAACCAAAGACAGAAAGCTGGGGCAGAATAATTTGTTGTTTGGTGTGTTGTACTGTAGTAGTACACAAAGAAATGTGCACATGTATACATTTGTTGTGTTCATAATGTGAGAAAGTTTTTGAGGGGAAGAACCACAAACAACACTAATGACCAGTTTTTTGTAGTATTGTTTTGAATTTATCTGACCAGTGTCTAAGACTGTGTGGTAGTGTGTGTGCTTTTGAGGGCTTGTGTATCATGTCTGAGGGCAAAGTTTGGTTTTTCAGCAAAATTGAATGGTTTTGAGAGGAGAGCTTCATTTTGACCTGAAAATAGGACGTCAATCAAGAAAAACTGTAATAAAAGAGTAAATAGAGTGTTTAATCAGTATATTATCAACTGAGTAAGTTAAATTAGATGCAGGAATAACCAGGAAAGACAATTCAACACACATGGAGAATACGGTTTAAAATCATAAATGGATAAATGGAGATTTTCATTCAAAGGAATTCCTTTTTCCCCAGAATTAATACCAAATTACACAATTCTTCGCAGGAAACATTGTCGGACATTATTAGAATATTATGGACTTGTAAAATAAAGTGTTACCTTTTGTTGCCCTGTTAAACAAAACCCCTTACTATTATGTTATACAGTCTTGCAGTATATTTCAAAACTTTCTCTTATGTTGTATTTTGTCCACCCTCTGTCCACCCTATTTACTGTACTGCAGGAGTTTAGAATCAGGATAATTGTCTGTAGAAAAACTAATTACTGGATCAGCACATTTGCTGTGTGTTATCTGTGATTGTTCTGTTGAGGACATAAATTGCCAAAAGTCACCTGGATCAACTGGCCTTGTCAACACCATAACAATCCAGTGGGAGCTGACTATACAGGTGCATTTGGGTCTTTGTCAGTCCTGACAAGGTGAAGCAGAAAGTCGGTTTCTGATGGAACTGCAAATCCCCCACAGATGTAAAAAGGTTATTTTGGGAAAAAAGAGTAGTCAGCAATGCTTGGAATTATTCAGGCCTGTCAGCCAGTCTAAGTGAAAAGACAGATTACTGTTGCAGGACGGTTAAAAACTGATGCGGTTTAGACTCGATTACCTCTCTGTCTGACCGTCTGACTCTTTCTGTCTGTTCTGCTCTCTGTTCCTCTTGATTGCCTCCTAAATCTCTTTCCGACATGTTTCTGAGATTTTAGATTACTTATTACTTATACAAAGCAGAAATTCAGGCATACACAGGAATCACTTTGCGTTATTTGGCACCCACAGTCTTGGTGACTCATAATATAAACACATGGTCTTAATGTGTTGTGACTCATAGAAAAGAGAAAGTTACTATGTATCTGGACATATTGGCAATTGGTTAATTTTCCGGACACAGTGTTTCAATTAGCTGCAGTGTTTGCGTCTGACTTTGCATCTGTGCATTTGTGTGAAACTCACGCCGTGTCCTGCGCCTGTTCATCGGACTTGGAGATCTTCCTGTAGCAGTAGACCATCTCCACCAGCAGCCAGAAGGTCAAGAACACCAGCAGCACATACATCATGATCTCAGAGTAGATCGCTGTGACGTCTGGACTGGCTGTGGAGCACAAACAACAGCAAAGAACATGTTTTATTCAGTATGCGTCCTACCTCTGATTGTTTTGTGTTGAATGGAACAGGGGAGACTTATTTATTCACAGGTTTAAGAAAGAATGCAAAGCTTGTTCATGTATATGCAACACTGCTGACCCACAATCCACTGTCAGTCATTATAAAGAAGGCAATATCTCTACGGTATACTTGAATAATTTGCTTTCATCTCACTGAATGACAAGTCCAATTCAATATGTACAACAGTTATTACTATGCAGTTGCTATGCAGCCTAGTGAGTTAAAGGTGCCCTGTGGAGTTTTCTTGTAAACAAACAAAATTGTGCATTGTGTGTATCCTTAAGGTGTAACAAACATGTTTAGTTACTTCCTCGTAAAACATTTGTAGCCAATTTTTATAAAAAATCTTTTAAACCATGCATTGTTTACATCCCTGTTTGCTTGCTAGTAGTCTTCACTGCTGTTGTTGCTGCATTGCTACATTTGCTGGTGCCACCAACAACTGTCTGTGAGTGGAATAGCATGAAACAAACTCGGCACCCGTGTGTCCTGATGCACGTGAATAATACAAAAAGCAACAACAGGGGCCCACTTGAAAAACATTGCTCCATAGCACTACCAGTGGTGAAATGCTCCACAGGATTCCTTTAAATATGAAATAAGATTGATATGCACGAGTCACAGTGGTTTTCAGGGCATGACACACATACAGATTTTAAGTTTAAAGATATGATTACCTAATATTTTGGGCCATATTTTGGTTTTATGTATGCCAATGTAAGACTTATAACATTATAATAATGGACATTGAAACAGTGCTTCCATTTTAAAAGATGTGGGCCAAATTTGCAGTTCTTGTTCCGTGCAAAAATATATTACAAAGTTTTTTACACTCTTTTTAGTACAGAAAGGTTTCCACAGGACATGTTTCCCAGCTGAGCTGTGGTTGGGAGAAAAAGAGTAACAGAAAGAAGGACTTTCACACTAAAAAACTCTGTTAGCTTGGTAGATATTTTTCTAATTCAAACTGCTGAAGTTACATATTAACTTCAAATAAACTTTGAAATGTATTTGTGCAGAGGACTGAGGATTTTCTCTATCATTTACATTGGAAATGCATTAGAAAGATATCTTTTGGCCAGCATGAACAGGAGGATGGATTACAGCAAGCGAAACCTGTTTCAATGTACATATGGGCACCTGACTGCTTTTTTTAAGACTGACTTGAAAAAACGCTCTTAAAATATTGAATTTCAGGATCATTAGGAGCCACTGTGAATCACTGTGCCAATGAGTATGTACAAAATTCCAGAAAGCCTGCTGACCAGACAGTTGACAGCTTTCACAGGTTTGACTCTGCAGTATCTGCAAATAGGCTATTAGTGTAAAATAATCCATTAGATGGGAAAGCACAGATATGTTTGCCCTGCGCTAATCCATTCTACTGCTGTGGACATCATTACTGTAACATGATTCCCCAGCTATAATGTAAAGTACACTGGCCGAAGGCTTTGTGAAATTTGATACTGTATGAGATGTGAAGGAGACGTTTTAAAAATGTCTAAAAGAGAACCGTAGTATAATTGGAAAGTTGCACTTCAGAGGATAATCTCATTCAATTTGGACTCTACTTTTCCTAGGTACAAAGCAAACACTGGGATATAACTAGCCTATCTATATATCCCTCTGATAGTGAATTATATAACATGTGCAAGCAGGTATACTTAATAAAAGTTAAAGAAATGGGGACAATTAGTTCCAAATATACATGTTGTATTGTATATTCGATCAAGGTGAAAAATGACACAATCAGCAAGCCAGGCATTCAGGAAGCAGAATACATTACCCCTTATAATAGATAGTAAAGTAGTTGGTTTGAATTAACCCCTTCACTGACAACAGAAGAAAGCTTTGATGAGCAATAAAAGGCAGACAAAACAAAAGCACACAATTATTCATCGTCAGTACAGTCACAACAAAGGGAAGAGAAGGAAAGTGGTGTTGTTAGTGTCAGACTGCCCTCACATGTTGGAAATATATAATAAAATGCAAAAACCACTAAAAGCGGTCTGATAAACACTTTATGCAACATCGAAGGAGGGGCATGTACAGCACAAAGAGAACAATTAGGACACAGAAGTCAACACACGCACAGACAAGTGTTTCTACCCAGAGGTAAATTAAATAAATTAACGCGCCTGAGCTTAATCTCTCCAGCTATACTGTGTGCAGCTGTATGATCAGCATCATGTTAAAATGTGCAATAATGTGGTGAAATTAACTGTCTGCAACGCAAACTCTTTTGATTAAATTTACCTCAGTTTTAAGTATATTGGTTAACAAACAACATGAAAATCAGGTCTATTGACATTGTAAAACATGCAGGAAAAATATATTTTACACAGACTAATGCTGGGTAGATATTTAAGATCATTTGCAGTACAACCACTCCTGGGGAGACACTGCTGGATCACTACTGGCTTTAAAAGAGCTTAAATTCATAATAAGGCCAAATATGAATTATGTATTTGCTTTGGGGCTACAAAAGTCTTTCTTGCCTTTTCATTTCTTTCAACTAAATTTTGAAATAAAACACATGTGTGATGCATTACATCAGATAGACTGGGGGAAAATGCTTTCAACTTAACTGTCAGACTTGAGTTGATTTACTGACCTTTGATTTTTGGTATCCTTACAGAGGCATGCCACTGCCTGAAAAGCACTTAACGGCAAACACAAGTCTGAGGTCTGAATAACCCCTGTGTAGCTCTAGAATAAACCTGCTAAACTGATACATCAACGCAGAATCAGAGCTGGATTTTACTCTGAGCTGTACCGATATGGCAGCCAAGCATTTGGCAAGAGACCTGCACAAAGAACAGGGTGGAATAACATGAAAGAAAGTGGAAAACTATTAACCGCACCTTCAGCGTTCACCTTCAACTTGATCTCCTTCGTGACAAGGACAGAGGGTGTAAAGAAGTCAAACTCAAACTTGCGAAGTACATTGCACTCAAAGACACCGGTGTCGTTATAGGTGACGTTGATTATTTCAATGGAGACATCTTGCAAGTCCTGGCTCCCATTCCAGGTCAGACGGCCCTTAAATGGTCCGTCTAATTCCACTGGTTTGTTATTCTTATACTCGTATATCTAAGAGAGGGGAAAGGCAAGCAGGTTGCATAAATTATGTAGACAATCTCCACTAGAATGAAAACACATGACATGTCTTTATCAGATACAATAATGTAGCAGCAACCTACATGAGTTCTGTTAGGTGGGATGTCTTTTTCCTTTTCTGGCATGTAGAACCAATCCACAAACGTCTTTGCTTTGATCTCCTCCCTCTTCATACAGGAGATGCAGGTCAACCTCATGGATTTACCCAGGACTGCTTCTGTCTCTGACGGGACATCGACACATACTGGCTGGCTCAGGCAGACTGGAGGAAAAGTTACATGTTTAGCTCAGCAGCTAGCCTGAATTAAAGCTCAGTCAGGTTTAAAGTCTCCTTCCACTCATAAATGTGTTCCGTTTATGGTTACTTCACTTGAGTGTTTGACCTTCACTGTGCAGAATGTTGTATGTGCTGAGTTTGACAGTAGAGGGATGTTTTCACACTCATCTGCTAAAGGGAGAAAGTTTATCTACGCTCATTTTAAATCTGAGTTTTAGATGTGTGGTTGTGTGATGTGGAAACTTAAAAACCTCCAGTGCACAAACAATTTTTCAATGAAGTAAGAGACATGTTAAACCTTTGAAATAAAAATATTATCTGCATGCTGCATGAGGGACTGTCAGGTATAGTTTATAATTGGAAAAGTATGAAAACCTTCTGTAGTAGTTCTCCTGAGTTTTTTGAGAGAGCTCTTCAGTACTGAACCAAAGAGCTGCCTCAGAGTGGTCCTACTGTAAATGGAATTTCAGAGTAAAAGTGCTTAAAGATAAAACAAAAAAAAATACGTGCCTGTCACAGTAGAGCGTGTGGTTATAGTTTCAGTCAGTGAAAAAAAGAGTGAAAATGTCACTGACTGTAGAAGCTATACACCAAATTGTAATCGCATAGAATTTGAACATGATGAATTATAGCTTCGTCTTTAAAATAAACTCATGGACCATTGAGGTCATCAGCTTTTGTACTCTGCCAGAACACTGAATCCAACGTTGAGGCAGATGCACAACTCAGTAAGCGTTAAAAAAAATGTAAATTTAATTATACAGCTCCGTGAGCACTGGAAAGACTTGAGTCACAATACTGATGGCAAATCTAAGATCATCCAGGCCAGTAAGCACTAATGGTGGCCTATACACATTAGTGTTAGCTGGCAGTGGGAGGAATAAATGGAGGGAGTGTTGGATGCAGGAACTGTGGAAAGTGTAGGAGGAGGACAGCAAAGTATTGTGGGCAAGCAAAAGAAGAGAAATAAATGTATTACAAGAGCTAAAATCATTAGAGGAAGGCAGGAAGTGGATGATGACATGGGGGAAAGAATTGAGGGGGATTATAAACACTAAGAAAGGATTTCTTGTAAAGTCAATTGAGGCAGTAATCTCAGTGAGCTCACCACATGGATGTATTGTGTGACTGCTGCAGTGTTGGGTCCAGTGCTCTTATATAACCTAAAGCCCCCCCTGGGCGCACAGTGACAACATCGATTCCATCTAATCTTTTTTTCCCTTTCCTTTTTTTTCCTGAGGGCTCATACAAACACATGGATAGAAGCCAGAGGAACAGGGAGACATTCAGAGAAAGTCAGGGGGAAACTAGAGAAAGGGAAAAAGACACGAGGGAAAAGGCTTGACCCTGGTGTCCTCTGTTCAATGGGTCGATTTATTTCGCTTAAACTGCTGTCAACAGTGAGCGGGGCTGGACTGTGCAGACGATAGTGGGACTGCTCTGAAACTCTGTTTTCAGTTCACAGCCAGTTCAAAAGCCATTAACTGGGCCCGTGATTCCTACTTATCTGCGCATCTCTGTGAGCGGGAATCTGATGGAATAAGACATGCAACATTCACTGACAAAGAAGATATTTGAACATCTTGCTATACTTACCGAAAAAAATCAAAAGTACCAAAGTTTGCAGATGAACACTGGTTTGAGTTACCATATTAAGCTCTTTGTCGAGCTGCTTGACGGACAGTGTCCCTCTAACTGTTGCTTTTATTTAGAGAACAAGGCCAAGAGAAAGATGGCAGGAGTTGTTTAAATGACTTCAGGACCACGGACAGCGCCTCTCCTTGGCAGATGAGCGCACAGGTAACCTCCCTCTTCGCGACTGAAAATCCAAACTGCTACAAGGCAGGATTTCAACAAGGCAGGATTTCAAAACACAACTGACGAGCTGTAGAAACTAGGCTGCGAAATATTTACGTGTTCTCTGCGAATTTAAGTCGTCCAACGACCCCCTGACTCGCCGGTCGTCATCTATCTAGAGAGAACCAACTTCATTCTTCACTCCACTCCGTGAAATAAACACGTCCGTAACGCGAGACAGCTACTCGGGTGCCCTTCACAGCTGATGTCCTTCAGTCTAGATCCATCCAGAAGCACAGAAGAAAAAGCAAACACGCGCAGAGGAGGAACCTGTGGATTCTCAGATTTAGTCACTTAGCCTACATCTGGAGTCTTGTTCACACGCAAACGGAAAACGGCACTGACAATACTTATCTTATTTCAGCCCTTAAAGGATAACACTATTGATTGTTTGAAGTATATTACGTCCATTAAGGATGACTGATGACATTTCCCAACCGCGTCTCACAGCCTTTGTTTTCCAGCAGTCACACGGCGCTGGCAGAGCAGGGGCTTCGATACGCATGCGCGAGTCACTCCCTCCTACACTACAATGTGCATGACCATATTACTGTCACTTAGGAAGGTCTAACCAACTCATCATGAAAGCCTGTTTACATTTGCTTTTCTTTTGATTGTCGGAGCGAAACAAATAAAACACAGCATCTCATTATATTAGAGATAGAGAGCTAGAACAGAAACACCACAGTACATATTAGATAGAATAAACACCACAATATATAAATATATATAACAACCAACAACCGGTAGTTTTAATCAGTTTTATAAAAGCGTAAGAACAATGAGAGAAAGTGACTGTTGTGTTATATAGTCCTTGTTCAGCAGCTGCTAGCAGAGCTCTTTCATTTCATTCAGGACATTTCATTTGATACACGTCATAACTTGCATTATTCATTGCATTATACTACCCCAAGTCTTGACTTCTAAAGATGACAATAGGCCCATTGTTCAGATGTGGTTCAATTGAAGTCTTTCAGTGGAATAAATTATTGTAGCCACAGGTCTAGAACAGTCTGGCTGCAGGAATTGAGGAATGCCGGTTTACAATGTGTATATACTGTACACAATATATGTGCATCCAATCATAAAAGCATAAAACTTATACTTATATTGCATGTGCAAGAATCCATAGCCTGGATCTGTACAATCATATTAATGCTAAGCACATACACAGACTGATCTATATCTTTGGCTTACGGCAGAACAGAAGCTGATAAAATACAATGCAGGACACAACACACTAATCTAATGATCTTCTATCCTCTGAAGTTTAGCCTTAAAAGGGCCTGACCTTTTCTGCGATATTCTGTCTATATTTGAGTACAAACTCTTCCTTGCTGCATGACAGCTCTCCAACAACAATTGCCTCTCATTCCTCTTTTTATTCTCTAATCATTTAAGGGATTTAACAATGCTAAATATGACGGGTAAAGGAGAAATCCTTCAACAAATTACAGTGATTCACCGATTCAGGAAGAAAAATAATGAGACCTTTTTATGTCCAACACACCAACACAACCTGCAATAGCTAGGACTGTGGTGATGGCTGAACAGTGTAATTATATCACAAGGCTGAAAGATGTGATGAGAATGTAATAAAATTGTCACTGTTAGTTCAAGCGAGCAGGAAAGGGACTAGACCTAGATGCAGAAACAGTTCAACAGAGATTTTAATAGCATAATAAAAGGGTACACTGGCATACAGCAAGGTGATGGCAGACAAGAGTCCAAACCAGGCAAGCAGTCCACACAGGCAAACAAATCTAAGAGAAAAAATCTAAATACAAAAAGGTCCACTAAATCCAAAACACTGGTGAAGGGCTGGCATGTTAGACAAGCATACTGACAAATGCTGCATTCCACACTGAATGGAAGTCAGAGATTTACCAGTAGAAATATCCGACTTCCTACCTCAAAGTGTTCCAGGTGCACGATGGTTCATGACACCGAAAGTGATCAAAAAACATGGCTGACCGTGGCAAACTGATGCACACAATTAAACCCTCAGCAGTGCCTTTGGTGTCGGCCTATGATAACATTGGCAACATATGTCTACATCAATTTACATGCAGAACAGGATATACAATGTATGTATGTATGTATTATTTTAATTAAATACAAGCAAGTATACTTCATGCTGCCTTTTAATTTGTGGTTTACCATTTACAATGTGTGCTTCTATGGGAGCTGCCATTGTTGGGTGACGTCATTCAGCTGCTTCTTGTGAAGTTGGGGTACATATTTGTTCTCCCAGTTCACAAGTTGGAGGTCCGACTTGTGAACTTTCTATGGTACTTTTTCTAGTTGGAGGTCGGAAATTTCTGAGATCAGAGGTGCCTGGAATGCTGCATAAATATACAGTTGAGGTGAGGATAACTAGAAACAGGTGGAACTAATTAGGGCAGGGCAGACAATCAAACAAGCAGGAAAACACACATAAAAAGAAAACCTTTTATGTGCTACTAAAATATGAGACTAAATATATCCATTTTAATTTGTTTGATTTGTTCACAGGGAAAAAATCTACTTTTTGATTATTTATTATTATTATTTATTTGATTATTCTGCTTCAAAACTTTATAAGTATAGTCATGATCTCCTACATTTTAAAGTAAGTCAATCCATATTATCATAATTGTGTACATATGTACATACATCTAACTGTAAGATGTTTATATGTTTTGGTCTACATGTCACAAACTAAATTATTTTCTTTCATCTCTAATAATTTGTTTGTTTTTTATCCCCAATGTTTCTGAGAGACGTACCAAGAAATCAGCATTACTGCAATGTAATGGTTGATGTTATCTACCAACTCTGTGAAAGCCTAAACAGCTTGAGATGAAACCCTGATATGGCATCCACAGGCCTGAAAGAGACACGATAATTTCACTGTAACATCACAGTATTTAATCTTGCAGCCACTGTATCTGGAGTAATGAGAGGATTACTCTCGAGGAGAATAGTAGTCAAGGCTTTCTATCAAGGCACGCTGTGCTAAAGCTGTGCAAATGCTGAAAAATGTTAGAAGAATTGAATTAACAGTTTTTTGCATAAATGTTCTTGGTTGTTGCAGCTTTTAAAGTAAAAAGAGCAGCAAAGAGGCAGCTGAGTGCACTCTTGTGTTGCTGTCAGCATTAGCAGTAGGCTGGTACTCTGAGCAGCAGACTAAATATGGCAGGCCTGGCTGTACCACATCCTGCAGATAAGGAAACCATAGCAACAGTAATGCAGAGCCATGGTGACTACAGGAGGCAAGCTCAGCGACAGCCCATAGACAACAGGAAGCCTCAAACCCAGCTCTCCATGTTTTTACAGGCATTCAGTGTGTTTGACTTACTTTCTACACAAAGAAAAACATTTCAAAGAAAAAGGTGAATAAATAATGTGTTTTCACTTTTCAAGTGTTTCTCTGCGTTCAGGTCCAAGGTCTTTCGCAACAGGATGCATGCGTGTGATGAATACAAGCACATTGTGAGTATTTGAGGGTAAACTCCACCAACTCAAAAACAGGAGAGCGAAGATACAGTTTTCTGTAGTGAGATTCGGTCAAACACAGCAGTAATGAGCGGTTTACACAAGGCAGTGAGTAATTGAAGTCATAAATAAGTGCGTTAGAGAGTATGTGTTTGCTCCTGCCAGTGTGTGTGAGTGTGTGCGTGTGCAGGGCCCCTCGAGGATGTACAGCAGAGAGCAGATTTCTAGAGATTTGGAAGGATTTCAAGATTATAACATGATTACAGCAGCCAACCATGGATGAAATGTTGAAAAATTAGATATGAATCTCATGTGTAGCTTGCTGGAAAAACCTCTTATAGCTGATATTTGTACATTGTAAGAAGGACTTTACTCATCTCTCTTAACATCTGTCATCTATATTCATTCTTAATGGCAACACACAATCAGATGCATGCAAGCACAGCCTGCTTTGATTCCTCCCAACAACTCACCCTTTCAAGACTTATGCATTTAGTTGTTTTTTTACCAAATATTTCCTAAAAGGGACAGACATCTTGTGATATATTTTGTATGCAATTCATATATTTCATACTTGCTAAAACTAAAGGAATTTCTCAATGTATCAGGAAAGTAGTATTTTTTCTATATCTACACACACACACACACATATATATATACACACATACACACGCACATACTCACACAGATGTCACACAAAGACAGTCTTCCTAAAAATAACCCATGTTGATCTAAACAACTAGAGCAAGCGTAATGTTGTTCCACTGCAAATCACCACACAAAGACTTACACACACATGCTCCAGAGCAGCTCAGCATGGAGTTATGTGATGCTATGTCCCACCGTGAGGCAGACACAACGGCCAGATCAGTGGCACATAGCAGCTAATCTAATTGATATGGCATATAATCTCAGGGAGCCACTGAACCACACCCTTCAGACACACACACACACAGCTACAGGGCACTGCCAGATTCAACCCGGGGGACTTGGCACAGAGCTCTGAGCTAACACTGATAGCAAGTGAAGACTTGTTCCATCTGACCTTCTGATTTGGCTCAGCCCTCTGTAGGAATACTCACTTTCTATTATAGGACCCAAAACCCAGTGCGTCAGATAAACCATCGAACCAAAAGAAGGCAGCCATTCCGCAGCATTGACTTCTCTTCTGCCGCAGATCCAACAGGATTTCAAGTTAAGTAGCTACTTTTAGTTTCACTTGGTTAACCTGTTGGTTCTAGAGAAAGCTCACTGCAATGAAAAGGGCTTGGAGAAGAAAGGTTAAAGGACCTGCATGCGTGTGAGACAGAGAAAAGGGGAGCCAGTTATTGTAGTTCAGTATTAAATATTCATGAAGACATGTGGGTCATCACCTCTACACAGGAGATTTGTTGTTATGAGCAGGAACAAACACAAAACCAAAAGTCACCTTGGGCTCATTCAGCTGTTTATTGTCTCAATTATAATATGGTAATGAACAGAGCCTGTCTTAGAGGCTGGTATTAACTCCTAACTGAGAAACTATTTGGACAAGATGACAGGTTGTGTCACACCGCTGCTTGTTGCCAGAAATTATTTCTGTCCGGGATACAGATAATTAAAAAGAACACAACTGAATTGTTTAAAAGCTGGCGCAATTAATACAGAGGTCACTCAGATCATTCCCCAATAAACAAGAATGAATATTATATATATAATATATACTGTACAAAAACAATCAAGCTATTTTTGGGCTGAACACAAAAAAGCACAAGAGACTGAGAAATAATGGTGAGAGAACCACATAAAAACCAACACATTTCTAATCATTTATCTACATTCCGACCCAGTATCTGATCGGAAGGCCCCCATATGTCACCAATATCTGCACATCCAGTTGTATTTTCTATTTTGACCTGACTGCTTAGCTCCTGCTTTCCTGGGACATTAAGAGGCAGCCGATCTTGGCTCTCAAGCATCTGGCAGTCCAGTAATTTGTCAGGGTTGGTGCTCTGGACAGTGTCACTTCTCTGCTGCTCAGAAATATGACTCTCCAGTTTATAGTTACCAAGACTTCCACTCCCTACGGTTTGTTGGCTATGATCCTGAGTAGCTAGAATTCTGTCCTGACACTGGCCTTCAGTGGGACTGCAGCCATCTACACCAGGATAATGCTCCCTTTGCCCCCGCTGAGTGCTGCTGCTGTCTATCTGTGTACGGCCTCTTGTCCCATCTTTTGACTTGCTGTCATGCTGCTGGCACCGTCTGATCTGCCCTAATGTGATTTGGAGCTCATTGAGGCGCTGTGATACATAGCGTCTCTTCAGTTCCAGCAGGATTGTTCCATTACGACTCAGGCTTGGCATGCTTGTTGGTGTTGCTCTCTGTAAAAGGATAGACCACAAAGAATATACTGTAGATGATGTGTGGTAAAATATATAAATTAAATCATGCACATAGTTGCAAGCAACAATGCAAATTTGCAAATGCAGGCATGCATCATATTCATGCATACTGACACATTTTTCTCTCAATTTCAGGCTGAATAGGAGCAAATAAACATGCATGAAGGAAGGTTTTAATTATTTATCACCAATCAACTAAATTAAAAGTATCAGTGTAATAAGTAATTTTTATGTATGAAAGGCTACAAGAGTGAGTAGTGAGAATGTCAAACAGAATATCTCAGTATGTTAAAAATTGGAGGAAATTTCTAATAATTTCTAAACCCTTCACAACAGTTAAATTACCACCCACGTTAATTCTTTGGATTATGGTACTATAAATGTAATGTGTAATATTCTAGTTAATTACCGCAGAATGGTTGCCAGCACTGTTCTCTCTCGCCTTTAGCCGTGTGCTCATTTGTGCTCTGTTCTGTAGCTGCACGCTCAGCTGCAAGAAAGACTCATTCATGCGGTCAATTTCTTCTTCTACACAGGACATCTGTAAAAGAGGAAACGATAAAGTAATGTGTTGTTCTTGGAGCCTAAACTCTCTTTAAGTAAGATAGTTTATGATTTGTAAATGAGTGATACCTGCATTGGCGTCCCTTTTGGTGGTAAACCTGTTGAAATTAAACAAGACTTTTGATTCTTTAGAAAAAAAATATTTTGGGTAAATGTCTTAAAGGGACGATACGTAGTTTTCAGTGGCATCTAGTGGTGATTTCAGATTGCAACCACTGTGTTTCCAAGTGTGTGCTTGTGCGCATGCTCAAACTCATGGGCAAGCACTCGGCATCAGCCAAAACAGAGACATAACAAGAGACAACATCACAAAAAATGCTGGAAGCATGATAACGTTACACCGACTGCATTTAGCCGACATGGTCAGCGTTGTGTATCTTTCACCAGAGCACTCAGCAATGTCAGCATAGCTAAAATTTATTGGATGATAATGAAAACGGTAAGTGAGATAGACTAAATATTTTAGATGAGATTGTTTCAACACTTTAGTATAACAGTTAGACTGTAGTAAGTAACATTATGTATATTACATGGGTCTCGTAAGTTATGGCAACTGAGATTGGTGGAGTACTGAGTATTGGTAAAATGACAATAAATCTAAAATGAAAGTTACAAAGCAAGCAAAGCCAGATCCTTGCTAATGTATAAACAAATCGCTCCACATTTACTGTGAACCATTACATAATTTCTTGCAGGCTAAAATCAACACTAAATACCAGTGGTACACAGGATAGTAATATGGATTGCACTAGCTGGTGAAGTAATGTGGTATAGCCATAACGTTACAACAATAGTATTTTGCAACGGATAACGTTAGCAACTGGTCGGCGTTAGCTGGCAAGCTAATGTTATCTAACTTGAGCCAACTAAAGCACAAAATCACAAAATATTTCACATGCTTTGCAGTAATAGTTAGTTTATCGACCCAATAAATGAAAGCCAACTCTGGGTTGGTTTTTATATCCAAAACAAAGCGGAGGTCTCTCCATGACTCAAACGCTTTTCTGATGTTGACCCATGTTTTCGCCCAACGTCAATGTGATTCTCATTTGGCCTGTTGGGCTACAGGACAAATAAACATTTTTACGTGGAGTTTCTGTTGGAGTTGTGCTGGGAACTAATAATTTTTGATTGATTTTTGTTAGCTGCAGTGTACAGTTCAGAATCAGCAGGCAGGTGTTCTGAAGCATGCAAAATCTGATCAGATTTCTTCACACAGGAAGCAGCATAGTGGCTGTTCCCAGCCCCGAAAAAGCACAAATAGGGAAAAAAAAGTCATTAACTCTTAAGTGATTTCATAAAAAAACTACATATAGCCACTTTAATGGAATCTGTGTTGATGGAAAAGGCACAATAATCTAAACACCTAATAATATATGATTAGTGTCAAGCAGAAGCACAACAACCTATTGCTTTCAGAATAGCTTTGGTGCGTGCCGTCATTAAAGTCATGAACTGTGTGTACTGGGATATTGGACTATTCTTCTGGAACAAAAGCTCTTTAGGTTATAATGCAGGTGAAAATCAATGTCACGCTTTTTCTCTCCAGGACTTCATATAATGGCAATGATTTTTAGATCTTGTGACTGGAGAGAAATGGAAAAACGTCTGACTTCAATCTAAAATCACAATTAAAGTTGTTCATTAGTTTATATGGGTGCATTACTGTCGTGAACTATGGGAACGCATGGGTTTCACAAGATTGCCAAAGCTATTATGGGTCAATGTCTCCACGGCCAAAAATTCTAATTAAACTAATCCCTACATAAGGAAAACGAGTACAAGCCTGCTAGTATGCTAGTAAGATCTTAATAGGTTTTCCATTGATCAAGTGTCAAGAGTTTGCCCTACTTATGCCAGAATTTTTAATCTTGGTATACTGACTATGAATATCATAAATATCAAGCTTTTCTAAAATTTACTTATTTAGTAACTATGTATAGTGTTTTACAATATTTTGTCCATCCCATTATTTTTATTGGTCAGAGCAATTCAGGGTTCCCACTTTTCTAGAGATAATTTTCCAGGACATTTCCAGGTTATCTAGCTGGTATGGCAGACAGAGATCATGTCATACACTTATATGTTCCTCTCTGCGGAAGTCTGATTTTTAGTACATGCAGTCTATGACTATAACTTTTCTACCTTTTAACTTATCTATTACATGCATGGAAATTATTAGTTTTAATGCTATGTTTCAATATTGTTATTATTTTTTATAGTATTGCCATTGTATTAATTTATTTATTTTTCCTTTGGAACACCCTTTGTGTTCTACGCTTATCAAGTGCTCTTCTCATGAATTATATTTTAACCACTGCTGTCTGAACACCAATAACTGAACAAAGCAAGCCGTGGTATAAATCAATTCAACACATCATATGTTAGCCCCTTAATGAATGAAGCTAATCACAACCCATTGTGAGCTACGGCTACAAAGTTTCATGTCATGTTACTGTCATTTTATCGTAACTTAGCTTTAAGTTTGAAGGGATGCTAGCAAAGTAAAAAATGTGCTGTTAGACAGTATTTAGCCAGTGTTTAATGCACCTACAGCTTCCTAATCTTTCTTATCCACCTTTTTCAACAATACCCGATACACCTGAAACCATTGCTCCTAGCCAGAGTTGAAACACAAACATTAAACCGTTGCAGACAAATCAAGCTAGCAAGCACATTAACTTCAGCAACTTAACCAAACATGTTAACCAATTTAACATTATTTAACCATTTAAAACAAGTTGAGAAGAAAACATTTATCTATAAATCTAATAAAAACTACCACAGTTACCAGCCAGCAGTGACTAATATTTACCTTTGGACGATAATGCAACTTACATTATTCAGAGTTTCTGTCACATGAATAAATCTCATCCAACCTGCGCTACTTGTGACATGCTGCCACAACATAACTGAGCAAACGCAACATAATGTTAAAATAATTTTCCAGAACATCACAAAATTGTCCAGGACATTTTACTTTTTCTCTCATTTTCCAGGTATTTTCCAAGACTGGAAAATTGGCCAACTGTTTTTCAGGTTTTCCAGGTTCTCCAGGACACATAGGAACTCTACAATTGTTGTCATTGATTTTGCATACACTATAACCTAATCTTCTTCTGCAACTTACTAGAAATGAACAATCATCTTACCTCTGTCTGTGTCCTCAGTTGAACTCTGTTTAAGGTTTGTGATGAGCTGCTCTAACTTGAAATATTTGTATTTCTCAAGTCTAAATTGGAAGACAGAAAAAGTATTTAATTGCATGATTATGTTTGTAGGGAATACCACACTCTGCCATAGGTTTTATCTTTCTCACCAACCTGCTAGCTAACAGGTGCTCAGTGAACTGCGCTTCAGTGGGAACTCTAATGTTGAGAAATTCCTCAACTAATGCACCAAGCTGCTCCCCAGAAGTATTGAATTTTGACTGTAAAGGGAAAGAACAAAAGGTTATCTGCCCCTAATTGTGCAGTATGAGGAGGATGTGTGAGGCCAAAACAGCACTTACACACCTCTGCTGTGTTCCACTTGAAAGAAAAGTTGAACAGCTGAAGGCTTAAAGCTGAAATGGCCTCATGGAGAGCTAGGGTAAAGGTCTGGGTTTTAGATCCTGGATAAAAAAGAAAAATATCTTATTTTTTTCAAAAAATTATTGCATATGTTGTGCTTTTAAAGATGATTGCCAGAGCTATTATACTGCACTACACAACAAAACCATTACACAAGATTGGGTCTCAGGACTCTCTATTATTATTTGTCTGATTACCTGACACTATGTGGGCCATGGACTGCAGAATGGTAGCGATGAAATGTCCCACGTGCTGAAGCTTTGCCTCAGACAGATAAAGGATTTGATTGGTTGCATCAAAATAAAAGTCCCTTGAGCAGTGTGCCAGTGGAGCCTCATTAGAGGAAGATGAAGAAACAGGGACTGACTTGGCCAGCAGCAGAAGCACAGAAGGAAAGAGCGGGCAGTTTGCCAGCAACTGCATCACGTGGCAGCCAAACAGGAAAACAGCTGAGTGTTGAGGTGAGAGGTTGTCCAGTGCAGTCGGGATAAGTTGCCCATCTTGGACAGAAGGCTCTGTATCTGCTAAAGGGAAGTACATTAGGCTTCAAATTTACTACAATTTGTTGTTCAATTTGTCTTTCTGAGGTCTTGGATTAAGGCTTTTTATCATGTTTCTGTACCATTGTGGAGATGTTGATTAGACTCAGCTGTGTTAAGGTCTTGTAAAGATTGCTGGATCTCCTGCAGGGTCTTGAATAGAGGAGATATGCTGACCAGCTTGGACAGGTCGTGGTCACTTAGACAAGGAGCTGTGCTCTGTAGATGGGCTGGGGAAGAAAGAATCATTTCACTGAGGTGACATAACATCTTGATGCACTTGTAAATGAATTTGCATAGATCTGTTCCTTACCTGGCTCATGAGGAAGAGCTTCTGCTTTGGTCATGTTCATTGATGAAAACTGTGGACATCATTTGAAAGAGTAAGTCATTCTCTACTTAATTATTCCAAGATGTGCTCCAAACAGAACATATGCAGCTGCAGTACCTGTGTATAGAACATGTTCGTGTTGTATCCAGCTTGTGGATCACATTCCCTGGCATCATGAGGACCAGTATGACAGTATGGGGGACCAGGTAAATCCTGGTTCTGCCAAGTTTCTCCTGTCAGCCTGCATAACAGAGCTTCTACTGACCCAAGAACAGCTCCCAGTGGTGCTATAGAGGCCTCAGCTGAGATGGGGAGGTTCAGTCCCACGCATGAAATAGTTCAGAGTTAAACATTTCAAAAGGATGTGGCATAGTTTTCATCATTTTCAAAGTACAAAATCAGTGATTTAAAGAGTAAAACAGCCAGGTAGGTAGTAGAGCATTTTGGCAAATGAAAAAAGTGCTTGAGTGTGTTTTATTCTACATTTAGGCACAAAATGTAATACTGTAAAGGAACTGTCTGACATATTGGAAAGTACTTAACTTACTTGCTAAACGTTAGATAAGAAGATCATTATCAAGTTAAATATAAAGCTGGGGTCAGCAGCTAGTTAGTACAGCTTAGCATAAATTCCATCTACCAGCACATCTAAAGCTTAGTTAACATGTTATATCTCATTTGTTTAATCCACACATAACCCACCGTAAAACCACAAATTGTAATTTTTACACTTCTTTGTGCTAAATTAGCTAACCTAAGCTAACTGGCTGCTGGCTGTAGCCTCATGTTTTTCGTACAAACATGAAAGAGGTATCAATCTTCTCATCTAACACTCAACAAGAAAGCAAATAAGCATACTTTCCAAAGTGACATTTCATTATCTTGGTTCGTGATTAAACATGGCTGTTTTTTTTCAATAGAAGAAACTATTTTCTCTGCCCATTTATCTAATGAAATCACATATCATTATTTGGTTTTACCTTGAGTTTCTCTCTCTCCTGCACTGCTGTTAGATGGTTTATCCCTGATTGCATTGTGAATTAGCAGGTCCTTAAGAAGTTTTTTATTATCCATGTTTTCAAAGACATTCTGAAAAAAATATAGATTTTGACATTGTTTTCTTGTGGCACTTGAGAGGATCACAAGTTTTAAATATTACATATCTAATGGCCAATTTTTCCTTCAATATAGAGAAACTCACCTTGAGTGTTTCAGTCTGTTGACAAATGTTTCTATAAAACTCCTGTGTGTCTTTGCGGTGTCTAGCCAGTTGTGAAGCTATGTGGAGGTTCTGATCCTCTAGTTTGTCGTACAGAGTCTTCACATTGAACTCCTCCAAATCACAACGCCCAGACACACCTCCTAAATGTGAACAGTAAATGTTAATAATATATATGTTGCAATGGGGTAAATGGCGTAATCTCTTGTGATGAATGGCTGCATCTTGAAATCAACTGCTTTCGTAACTGGACTCCATAATAATTCAGTAGAAGTTCTCATGCCTTTTAGACCATCCAGGAAATAGCATGCAATGGATGATAAGTACTTGAATTAAAATTGCAGAGGCTAACTAGAGAGCTAGAGATAACAGCACAAGTCATTAGAGTGTGATATTAGCCATTATTTTCTTTATCATCTATCAAATAGGGAATAGGCTGTTAACGGCTACCTGGTCATGCGTGATGGTTTGATAATGACTCGGCCAATGGACATTTAAACGCCCTATCAGGCTGCATGAATAATGCAATAAGCACTAAGTGAGAAACATTAAAGGCAACTCTTCTCTATAGTCATTTCAAACATTATCGCAGACTTGAAAGAAACAATGAAAAATATATTGAAAACCAGTCAAATGGAAAGGAGTTACCAAAACGATTTTCAGTGAAGCTTTTTCAAAGATCGATTTATGACCAGGTTATTGAAGAAAATAGAAAATTGATGGTTTTATGTATTGAATTTAATCAAAACATGTTCCTTATGAAGGATAATAGTAGGCCTCAATATAATTCACAAACTAATTGATGAATTCAGCTGACAAACTCACTGTGCACTCCACCACACCCACCAGTAATACCATAATTTTTTGACATTACTACTGTTAAATTAGTTGTTAAAAAGTTAAGTGGGTTTGATCATGTTTCTGGAGGAAGTCTACAGTACATGGTAATAAACAAGGAGCATACCTCCTTTTGAAACAGCAGGCTCTTCAGCTTCTGCTCCCTCTCCTGCACTCCTACTGCCTAGGAAGCCACCCAGGCTTGGGACAGCTATGCTGAAACAAAAATACAAAGCCACACATGTTTATGTCTTACGTCATTTTACATAGTTTATAGAGGTTGACAAGAACAATGAGACAGAGAGGAAGGTGACTTTTAGCATTTATCATAAAGGGCACATACATAGTATGTGGCACTAGGACATCCATCCTGACACACGGATGAAACACACCACCAAGCCAACAGACCTGTCTCCGCTGCAAACACAATCCATTGGACAAAAGGGCTCCCCAAGGCTGCGCCACTTTGGCTTAGTCCTCCACTGGGAAACAAGTTTTGCTTTGCCAGGTCGCAGAACAAGCACTGTGGTGGTCAAAACCACAACTACAACCAGCAGCAGACTGAGGATCCCTAGACACAGTTAGTATTGTGTCATGATAAAATTGCAAACTCATCACAGCCTTTCACCTGCAAGTTGTTGAGTAGACATTAATAGTCAACAGTAAGGGTGCACACCTGCTATCACTCCCCAGTCAGGTAGGAGGTTGAGTCTGTGCTGCTTAACAATCCCGTACTTGACCAGCTGTGCCGGGGTCATGGGCTGGAAGACGGAGGCCCGAGGGTTACACTCTGTCCCTTTCTCACTGACCACCACCACCATACTCCACTCTGGGACAGCACTGTCAACAAACACATACTTCCCTGCTTCTGAATAGACATGGGCAAACCTGAGAAAAGGAGAGGATCAGTAAAGATGGTCACATGGAATTTCAAATAATCAACACTTGAGTCTCTATCTGCAGTATGGATTCAACACTACCTTCTAGAGTTGAAGTTTGTCTGCTTTATGAGTATCTGCAGACGTCTGAAGGCACCAAAGTCCCAGCCGGGGTTACTGTTAAACAGATGGTCTTTCTGATAAACTGGGAAATGGCTGAGATGGCGGTCTTCGGGATATACAAAAGTTAGAGCAATATTGCAGTGTTTAAAACAAAAATAAACACCACAGTCGCGATAAAACCAACATGAAAGTAAACAATATCAGTGGTACCTGTGTGGTTGATGGTGAGATGAAAAATGAGCATGTCACCAGCGGACAGACAGGCAATGGGGTTGGGGATACGAGGGAGGACAGAAAAGTGGACAGCATCATCATCTTCTTCTGTTTCTCTCCTCTTTCTGGGTCTTGTATTTGGAAGTTCAGTTGGTTCTGAATAAAATGAACATGTTCAGCTTTCAAACAATCAAGTTACATTTTCGTCTGTTTCCCTTTAAGATGATACTGGATGCAGAAATCAAAGGGGCTGATTAGAAACATTAGAAAAGGATACATAATGAATATTACAAGTTAAGTTTAGTCACCTGACAGAAACTGATGGATAAGCTCCCTCTGTGTGGGAATCCAACCAAACACCCCTTCAGAGTCAAACTGGACCAAATGGATTTTACCAATATTCTTTGCATGGATATCTGGTCCTAAAATATTCATTACAGTCTGGAAGTAAATAGAAACAAGCTCAATACAAACTGCTACTACAGCACCATAGCACAACATACCACATACATTTCAAGAACTACAATGACCATAACGTGACCGCCTTGCACGTTTAGTACCCTGTAGACCCGGGTTTTAATCCAGGTGTGGTGACTGCTCTCTCCCTTCGCTGCATATGGTCTCAGAAGTGGGATGGAGTGAGTGAAGGACCCCATAGATGGGTGATGCACTAGTGAGTGGGGGCACCCTGGGATGGGAGAAGTATTGTTGGGGGTAGTGTGAGGGACACCTGTGTGCGTGAAGCACATGGGTGCGTGGAGGCTAGTGTGACAGAGTACTGCATGATTGAGTATGTGCTCTGACTGCCATGCCAATGATCCTGGCTCTTTGGCTTTGTGATCGAGTTGCACATTTTGTACCCTGTAGACTTGGGTTTGAATCTAGGTGGGGTGACTGCTCTCTCCTTTTGCTACAGAACATATCAGTAACTTATTTTGAATTGCCCTCTCTCATAAAACTGATGGGGAATCCCTTTATTTTTATTTGTTGGCCATCGAGTCAGTTTAGGGACACTCATGCTTAATTGTCTTGTGTGTTTCATGTTTTTTAGTTATTGCTGTATGTTTTATAACATTGGTCTGTTTTTTTAATTGTATAACTTTGTACAGCACTTTGTTCAACATTGGTAGTTTTTAAATGTGCTTTATAAATAAATTGACTTCCGACGGCATTGCGTTGTTGATTGGCATTTGGATGGTCGGGGTTTTTTTGGGTTTTTTTTTGGTTGGTCGGGTGGGGGTCTTACGCGTTCGCGTCGTGGTCCGTCTTGGAGTCAATTTCTTTTCCTTTTTTTCCCCCACCCCTATTGGCTACTGGGGTTCTTGCCTGCCTGTCGCTGGAGTTGGTGCAGCACGGTTGTGGCGCCCCACTCTCACTAAGAACTACATTCTGTAATAGGCTTATGCACACAAACATATACGCACACATGCAGATACATTCACCCACACGTACACAGACACATACAGTCTCATATATAGACACACACACAAACAAAGGTTGTCCCTGGTAGAATTATTCTTGATGCTTTCTTTCAGTTAGTTATTTAAATTAATTGTTATTATTCCAGGTCTCATGGCTGTGCTGTGTTGTTTATTTATGTTGCTTGACTGTTTCTCATTTTCATTTCTGTCTCAGTTGTCTTCCTATGATAGCTGTTTATTGCTGGTGTTCAGCTGGTTGTCTCTTTGTATTTGTTTGTTTGTTTGTTTGTTTGTTTGTTTTTCTCCACCCCAAGCCCCCCTCCCCATTCTCTTGCAGGTTTTGTTGCTTTCTGCAATTACTTGTTTTCTATGGCTAAACATGCAGATTATACACACATTTTTTTAGATTAAACACAAAATGGGTTAAGTGTAGATCCAGTACTAGACTGTAAAGACTGAGGTGCAAAATCGATATTCAAAAAAGGAAAAATGTTAGGCTTGCTAAACATCTCCGAACAGGATTAACCAATTCAAGAGCACCCACATAAAACATGGACATTCATAGATGATGAAACTAGTGGAATATTATGAGACCAAGTAGCTATAGGAATACTAAATACATTTTCTTACACAGAGAGCAAAGTTCATTATTTATTACCTTCCCTTCGCTGTAATACCATCATATCACAAAATCTGCAGCTGCAACATTTTTTCCAGGTGTCCTGCTGAGACTCAGACTGGCCAAGAGACCCTGATAAATGCTACGCCAAGCTTTCTGCCAACATATGAATCTAGCTAGACCCTACAGTCTGAAAAGTCTCTTGGCTACATCAGTACAATACTAATGTTAGATTTGTGCTTATTTTTATCTGGCATAAGCAGCTTCCGAAAATCTTTCTTCTCGCTCATACCCACATTCAGTGTAATTGATGAGTAAGTATAAGGTGAATAAGAAATCCACGATCTTGTAAGGTGTAGCCAATCATCAGTTTGTCAATGGCCTTGTAACCTCTCCCTTACCCTGGTCCAGACCATGCTGTCTCTTTCTTTGAGACTGAGCAGCAGGTGTCCTTCTGGCGAGAGCTGTGCAGAGAGCTGAGGCAGTCTGTAAAGGCAGGAAGTGTTGCAAAGCTCTTCAACAGACACATATCGCTCACACTGGCAGCTGGGGCATCAGGATCAGGCAGATAAGACAAGGGAAAGAAAGACGTACAGCATATAAGGCTACTTACCAGACAATAATACATTTCTTCATTACATCAAATTTTTACATGGCCATTTTTAAAATAGTAATTGACTTATGAAAGTATTTTAAAGGTATTGAAGTTGAATAAAAGATATAATTAACATTCACATGCCCATCTCCACATCCAGAGTTCCTCCATGTGGTCCACAGGTGATGTTACAGGAGTGGAGGGAAGGTGACACACACTCTCTGGATGCAGCCAAACGTACCTGCCCTGTGGCACACCGTCTGTTTGCCTGAGAAACACACACATGGACACACATAGACATAGGTATCTAAAAGAACTTCAAACACACAGACCTTGCCAGTTATTACATCATTCATGATTGAAAACCAGGACAGAAGTATTTCCCCCTATCTTTATATTGATTTCCAAATATTTTGGAAAAAACAAAAAAAATTTAAAAGTAAAATGATTGCAAAGTTTTGCAGGTTTTGAATTCATTTGTGGTGGTAAACACTGGTGGGGGTGGGGGCGTGGACGGGCTGTTTAAATGCTAATGGAAAACTTCAGCGTCAGACACTTGACAGTTGGCTGCTAAACATCTCTCCAGATTCACAACTTGACTTTAAAGGTGTGTCTGTCCGGCAGACTTTCAATCAGTCCACACCTTCGATTGCATTTCATGAAAACTTTTGAAAGAGAAATTGCAAATTCAAATATCAAAAATTTCCTTTTCGATGGAAGTGAATATATTTGGGTGAACTGTCCAAAGATGGGAAACACTGCGGATATTTGATACAGTAATTGAAAAAAAAAAATGTATTTCTGATGTTAAGTCTCCTACTGACCTCAGGCTGGCAGTCCAATTCACTGTCAGAGGTAGAGCTTTTGAAATCCAGTTCATTGTAGAAGACAAAACCAGTTCTGCACAAACATGAACCGTCCGAGTGCTGGAATGCACGGTTCTTACCAATGCAGGTACAAGAAGAAGAACCTAAAGAAACAGACATAGCATGCCAATATGACCAACATACTGATTTAGATATTGTCCTGTAAAGATGAACAACTCTTTTCTAACTATAACATAACTTGGAGAAGATGCCATAAACATATGATTTGTTCAGATTAAAGCATTTAATTTGATCTGAGTTATGTAGAAACCTCTGATAGCATCTAACCTGCTAGTGAGGTGGAGGAGCTGCCACAGGGAAAGCAGGCCTTTTGAGCAGTCAGGTGGTTAAAGGTGCCAGCTGGACATGGGTGACAGTCATCCAATGTCTCAGCATTAGTGAAGGGACCAAAGGAGCCAGGGGGGCAGGGTATTGGTTGGGTGGATCCCACGGAACAGACATACCCAAGAGGGCAAGGGTTACTCTTGTAGTGGTCGGTACCTGGGAGTTATTTGACATGAAATAACAAATGTTGTCCACGTAAATTGAGTTCTGGAATGATTTATGGTGATGAGTCAAGTACCTGGGGGGGCAAAAATATCCCGGTGGACATGGAAGGCATCGTGGGATGGGGGAGAGGTACGGACGATAGGTGCCACCCTCACACACACTACAACAGCTGCTTTTGGATCCTCTGAGCCCACTGCTGTTGACAGGCATGGAACCCCCTTCGCAGGACTTCATGGCTGAGCTGTTGCCTGGGCAGTAGTAGGGAAATGGACAGCTGTGGGGTATAGTAACAGGGTTATTTATAAAGCTTTAACCCACACCGTATAGTATCAGTCCAAACTCATTTAGCTTTCATCACTTCAACAATTAAAGCCTCTCATTTCCATGTCAATCTTACAAACTTGTTTTCATGCCAGATTTTAGGATACTGGACCTTTCATGCACTCACAGTTGTTTAGGGGTGTGGTAGGAATGGGATCCCTCAGGACAAAAATAACCTTCAGGACAGATTTGAGGCTCAGCAGTCTGAGGTCCACAGTATGAGCCAGCTCTGCACAGCCTCTCTGAGACTGCACCTGGATAATGAAACACTCATTACAGCATCCAACAAAGGTTGAGGTCAAGGGCGACATGGTTGAAGAAACTAGAAGACCTTTTGTCCCTCATCCAAGAGACTTCTTCAGTTCTGACTGACTGGTAGGGAAACTCAGCTATTAACTATGACCTGGATGACTGAGAACCTTCACAGACATCTTGCTAATCATTTTGGGATGAACACTCTTAGATTGGTACGGGAGTATGAAGGATAGCCAGGAAAATTGCAGACTACAGAAACCACCTAAGATTTTACCTGAGATGCCGACAACACAAAATCATACCCAACAGCCTACACTTACGCTCCACAATGAAAGGACACAGAGCTGATATAATCTTAGAGAAAGCACAACACCAGTTATTGAATGAGAGAGTGAGACAGATCCATTTCACCATTGAAGCCCTGAATAAGGAATCGGACAACTTACACCAAAAACTGGAAACACATCTGCCGAGTACAGTACTGGAAAAGGTCATGGATTTCATCAAGAAAGCACTGCAATCTCAACACAACAAGAGCAAGGAAAGACAGACCAAAAAATTCCAAAACCTACAGGCAAGAGCCAGCAACGCAAACAAAAATAAGGAGAATTGTCTTGCAGGAGTAAGGACGACAACCCCACAAACTCATATGAGACACTGAGGCGGGACCCAACCAGCGGGTACAAGAAAAAGGCCATAGAATGTCTACAACAACTTTAGAAAGAAAACTCCATCACCTGGGAACAATATTACTGTCTGTAACCCGGAGAAGCCATTCCTTGCATATATGGACTACCCAAAATACACAAAGAAGGAGCCCCACTCAGGCCTATTATCAGCAGCATCAACTCGGTCACCTGCAACCTTGCCAAACACATATCTTAGCCCCTTTGGTTGGTAACACGACCCACCACCAGAACTGTAAATTGCTCGACCTCTGTTTAAACGCCACCTATTTCCAGTACAACGGAGGATTCTACAGACAAAAGCATGGTTGTGCCATGGGCTCACCAGTGTCACCCATTGTAGCTAACATCCTAATGGAAGAAGTGTAGGGAAAAGCCCTCAACTCCTTCAGAGGAAAGGCACCGAGCCACTGGTATAGGTATGTGGATATTAAAACCCAGGAAGTGCAAAACTTCACAGAACAACTTCGTGGACAGTAACATCAAGTTCACACAAGAAGATGTCCACAACAACAGTTTGGCGCTCCTAGACTGTGCTGTACACACTGAAGAGGACAGGAGCCTGCAAATTAGGGTTTACAGGAAACACACACACGGACCAATACTTACTTTTTGATTCCCACCACCCACTGGAACACAAGCTATGAGTCATCAGAACCCCGCACCACAGAGCGAACCACATACCAACAAGTGCAGAAGCCAGACAAGGAACAGAACCACCTGAAGGGGGCACTTACAGCCTGTGGATACCCTAAATGGACCTTTGTGAACAGCCACAAAATCCAGAAAGAAGACCAACACTACAGGGGATGAGGAGAAGGAGGTCAAACACAACAACATTGTGATTCCATATGTGTCTTGAGTTTCAGAGAAACAAAAGAGGATTTTCAACAAACACCACATCCCTGTGTTTTTTAAACCCAAGAACACGCTAAGACAGATACTGGTACACCCCAAGGACCGCACATCCAGCATTCTAGTGTATGCGGTCCAATTTAGTGAGGAAAGCTCAGACCTATATATTGGGGAAACTATACAACCACTACACAAACGCATGGCTCAACACAGAAGGGCCAACTCCTCAGGTCAAGACTCAGCAGTTTATTTACATCTGAAGGATAAAGGACACTCGTTTGAGGACCACCAGGTGCACATTTTAGACAGAGAAGATGGATGGTTTGAAAGAGGTGTCAGGGAAGCCATTTACACCCGGGTTAAGAAGCCGTCGCTGAAGAGAGGAGGGGGTCTACGCCACCACTTATCCCCCACTTACAATGCTGTCCTTTCCTCCCTTACCATGAAACTAAACAAGCATTTCCTTTTGGCCTCAGGTGAAGATACCAACGATGGTCGTTCAGACTTGGCCAAGGGTGGTTCCAACGACTATGACGACTGTCGTTACCACAGCCAGGAGCACTAACCAGCGGTATCGATGATCCTAGCTAACTATTTAACCACGGAGGTTAATAGAGTTTCACTACCAGTCAGTCAGAAGTGAAGAAGTCTCTTGGATGAGGGACGAAACGTCTTCTAGTTTCTTCAACCAAGTCCAGTCGCCCTTGACCTCAACCATTGTTGGGTAACTATGACCTGGATGACTGAAAACCTTCATAGACACTCATTACAGCAGAACATCATTATGCTCTTTTTGGGAGAAAGGTATTTATTAAAAATAAAAAACTCAAAGTAATCACATCTAATACAGAATCTAATATACTGTGCAAATAAATTGTTGATAAACCTACCCATAGGACATTGATAAGAGGCCCTGCAGGGGATTCCCTCCACATTGGGTTTTCCTGTAGCCCAAGGATCTGGGCAGAAGGTACCCCCTGCACAGGGTTCACACTGGCTGGGTGCAGCAGCTCCAGGAAGGGGCCTTTTGGTACCTGCTGGGCAGAAGATGGGGGGTCCAGACCCACTGCACCAGAAACCAGGTGGGCAGGGACTGTTGGAGTAGTCTGTAAGCCCTGGAAAATAACAGTTGTCTGAAAAACCTATTCATCACTTCACACACAATAACCAAAGTAGAAATACATTTGCTGCATCATCACCCACACACATTGAGTGAGACTATAAATGAAAAAAAATTAAGATTAAGCTTATCAAAATTACTCCTACATAAGTGAAGTTCTTTGCTGCTCATTATTTAAGAAGTCTTCATTTATGCATACAAAGAACCAGAAGGTGAGGGGGAGACCATCTGCTGGAAATCAACCATTAGATAAAGAAACAACATGGTTTGAATTTTTTTAAATTTTAAGCATTTTTGAGGAAGATAAGAAACAATAATTCTTTGTAAATACACCACACAATCATTATTGTAGCCTTGGGTGTCTAGGTTTTAAATTCAGTGTCTTCAATCACATTATACCTCTTTCACTCTTATCGCAAGCACAGACTCAGGAACTGGTATAATAGTGTGCATACATACTGAAATTAATACACCCTAGAAAGGCAATGTTCTTTGAACTGTCCTTGCAAATGTAAATTCAAACCCACCAGAGAGAGGAGTATTAAGGTGTGTTTTACACTTTATTAAAAAGTAGGTACAGGACACAGCAGAATGAAACGGGGCAAAAAAACACACATGCAATGATTCACACCTGTGCTGTTACAGTGTGAGCCAGGAGGGCACGGCAGGCAGTCCCCCTTGCTGCCTGCTCCAGGGGAATCTCGATAGGTGTACAGAGGACATGGCCTGGGTCCTGTCCCTCCACTGAAGTCACTGCCAGGCAGACCATCACAGTAATGACCAACCGGACAGGGATGAAGGATTTGGTCTCCTGCAAACAAATCCAAACATTTTAGGAAGACATTTTTATGGTCACAGTGTTTTATATCACATTTGTTACACTTAGTTGAGGAATTTATTTCAATGCTTAAAAGATTCCTTTAAAGGATAATCAAGCGCTTTCCTCAGGCTACATTTCTAAACTGTTAACCCTTAATGAGCCCAGGCTCAGTCATTATTAGCCTGTGGTTTTAGCTGTAGCCTCAGTTCTAGGATCCTGCTGGTATCTACTTCTATCTACTATCTACAGTTTATACATGCGACAGATAATGAGTTAACTACCTGCTAGGATAGCAGGCAAGCAGCATGCTGCTTCCCAAACATGAGGATTGCAAACTGCTCATCTAGGCCAAGGAAGAAAAAATATATATTTTTACTGTCAGGGCTCCCAAACTATACAGAGTTCTTCCTACTTTGATTGTCTGAATCATTGTCTCAGACTCATCCATTTTCCTTTTCATCACTCCTCAAAAAAAAAAAGTTAAAAAAAAGGCCTCTTCATAATTTAAACTTCATCCCACATTTTTACCCTGCAAATTGGATTACAGCATCTCCAAAAACACCACTCAAACATAAAGACCAATATCTGCTCATACCAGGTTTACACCAATGCTGAGGTGGGCAGGGTAAACAGTCCTGTAGGCTGGTACCTCCTGGGGAGCTTCTGACAGTGTTTGCAGGACACAATTCAGCCTCCTCTGCGCCCTCAGGACAGTAAAAACCTGGAATAAAGAACACTTTCTTTTAAATATTTAAACAACAAAATGGTTAACTCTGCAAGCTGAACAGAACAAATCTCAAAGGTGAAAGAATAAAGTGTGAAAATGTGTATATTGGACTGAATATCAATTATTGGTAGCATTTATTTATTTATTTTAAGAATTGATGTATTATACCTGGTGGACACAGTCCAGCACACTGCATGCCCCATTGGCACTGGGTCAAGTTAGACATTGGTCCAAGAGGGGTGAAATCTGCACTCCCAGAAACACAAAGATACCCAGCAGCACACATACCCTGGATCCTACCAGCCCTGAAGAAAACATACAAACCGCTAAATTAATCTACAAAACCACAAGACTGCATATGCACAGAAACACATATACACACATACACAGAAGAACATTTAGAGAACACTCAAATGTATGCTTCATTTGATAAATAGAATGACAATTACATAATTCCTAACATCTTCACCTCCAATATTCATATCTCCATTCATTATATTTATGCATATGAAGCTGTTAATTTGGCTGTTCAGTGGACCGTGTCTCTTGAACATGATATACTCATGCATTCAGCTAATTATGAGTATAATTAAAGCAGAGATGAGCATGAGTGTAATTGTGGGTCTGTCTGTGTACATGCCTGTGTATGTTTATTGGATGTATGTGTAAGAGTGTGAGATTAGCGCACATTTGAAAGTTTGTGCATGCATACATTAGGGGTGTGATGCATTCAGTGTACCTGCAGAACTTTCCTGGAGGACAGGGTAAACACTCTCTCTCGTCTTGTAGCCCTCCATGGCTTGAATGAGTATATGTTCCATTAGGACAGGGCTGAGGCACCATGGTGCCTGAAAAACCAAAGATGCAGTAGGACAGAGACAGACAGTGTGATTTATTCTATTGTAATTACTGCAATATGTTTTATATCTTTGCACACATTTCTCAGTTTTGTGTTTATTTAAAACATGAAACTGAGACATTTTGTGTTTTTTTTGATGGTTTATAAGAATGAATTTCATTAATTGGCATTCACCGTAGTCAAAATTGTCCCTTTACAGTACCTGCAGGGCAGAATGAGTGTGGTGGGCAGGGCCATGGCTCTCCCACTATGGCCTCCTCACAGTAGAATCCAGGTCGGCATGGGATGCAGTTATCTGAGCCAGGGTTTGGCTGGTACTCTCCTGTGGGACAAGGCAGGGCCAGGGCAGAGCCTTCTGGACAGTGGTGGCCCTACAAGAAGAAGAGGCGCCTCTGAGGGGTGGAATTCAATTCAGCAGGACATTAATACTAAACAGCATGGCACAAGCTTCTCTAGGAGAGATATTGTCAGGAAAACAATACAAATAATGGAAAAGGGGAGGGTAGGGACAGGAATTCAGTGGAAGAGAGGGAACACAGAGAGAAAGTGAATGAATGAGTATTTGAATAACCCTTACCTTGGGACAGAGGAAGGCATATGGAGTGGTTGAAGAGAAGTCAAATGGGCAGTAGAAACCAGCAGCACAGGGGCCACTGGGGTTTGCGAGACCTTCAGTGGCGCAATAGTGACCTGCAGGACAGGCAGAGCAGCTCTCCATGGACACACCTCCTGTGACAAGAGGACAACAGATAACAGTGACGTAATACAGTGATGCACATAAGACAAACAGAGAACAAGATATTCAATTCATCTAACAGAAAAAGCCATTTCGTGACGAATGTAAATAGTAGATGTACCGTTGGTGTTGCGAATGCTGCCAAGAGGGCATGGAATTGGGGAGAGGCACCCCGCTGGACAGTAGTGGCCCACGGGGCACGGGCCATTCCGGGGGAAGTTGTCAGAGCTTTGCGGTGTTGGCTCCGTGGCGCCACCTTGGCAGAAATAACCCTGCAAACAAGAACCTAGACAAAACACATATACACGATCACATTTTCTCACTTAGCTGACATTTTTATCCAAAGTGACTGTAGGGGTTAAGTGTCTTGGGGACCACATTGGTGGTGTTGCAATGGGAATCAAACCCGGGTGTCTTACACCAAAAGCATGTGTCTGTTGTCTTTTCCAGTGCACCCCCCCCACCCCCACCATCCAATATGGTTATCTGTTAATAAATGGTTTAAGTAGTATTAGGTTGTGTACATTTTGCTAAAAGGCTAACATAATGTCACCAAATATCTTTGTGTCTGGTCACCTTGTGGTGATGAGGCTCCATTTGAGCTACAGTATACTCCAGAGGGACAAGGTGTGCAGACAGACAGAGAGTGGGCTCCCGGCTGGGTGCTGAAAGTCCCTATAGGACAGGGCTGAGGCAGGGCAGTCCCAGCAGGACAAAAATGACCTAGGAAGAGAGCAATTATTGGTTTATCAATAATGCAGAATTATAAATTGGACCACTGGACAGTATTTCTGCTATATTTAAAAAGGCAAGATCTCAAACGTGGATTCAAAGTTTATTTTCACTATCCTCACCAGCTGGGCATATAGACGGCTCTTGAGTGGCTGAGGAGGAACACATGGTCCCTTTGGGGCAAATTATGCAGTGGGCTGCTCCAGGCGCAGGACTGTAAGTGCCAGGCTCACAGGGCACCTCACTTGCAGAGCCAACAGGACAGCTATGGCCAGCGGGACAGAGGTAGCCATGGGAACCATCAGACAGGGTGGAACTGGAACTGCCACCCAAGCACACATACCTGTTGGCATAAACAGGGAGAACAAGCCTCATATCACAAATATTGCCACAAGCTGCCATTGTAGGGGTTGAACAGTGAGGTATTATTGTTTCCCTTTTTTGGTTTCAATTTTATAAAACAAGTGAAAGTCTTGAAAATAGGTCAGAATAGGTCACTTTTTCAAATTTCAAATAAAGGTTGTTGATTTTGCAATGGTCAATTAAGTTGTCGGGAAGAGCACAGCTCCTAGGATGTGCCCCACAAAGTATTTAGTTATGAAGGTTTTCAGTGAGCAACATTTCCATTTATTGTGACTGTATTTGACTGCATTTTGACAACCTGATTTGATATATTGACACTGAAATTAGTGCATTTAAGAGTTCACTACATTTCAAAATTGCTTAATTAATCACATTTAATTTAATGAAAGCCTAACCAGCTAGACTTAGTTATCATTTAGTGATAAATAATCCCAAGAATGCTTAACCATTGGCATATTTTTATTAATAAGGCTATTCTTGGTTTGCTTCCATCTTACCTATGGCTCCACTTCCTTCAGAAAAGTTTCGGAAGATATTGTCTTCACTCCCAAAAACTATTCCTACTATCTATCCCTAAAATACGTACTGACTTGAAATGGGCGTTTAAGTATGCTGCTCCTTCTGCTCGGAATCAGTTGCACAATTACTTGAATCTTTGGGAGCTGGTCTCACTGTATGCATTTAAAGTAATTCTAAATGACTCAGAGGCAGGCACATCTGGCTGTAGATGTTCTGACTGATTTATATTGCCCCTGTTTGACCCCTGATGATGATGACTTATGAAGAATATTGATGAACGAATGATTTTTTAAATATTTTTTATATTTTATGATCCTGTAATTTATTTTCATTGCAAATTGTTATATGTCTGCAACCCTGTTAATTGTGCCTGTCACACTGTGTGCCTGTCTGCTATGTTCAACTTTCTGGGAGTTTTGGTTGTTTGGTCAGTTCAGTATCTATTGTTATATAGTCTGTTGTCTGAGTTTGTCTGTGTTGTTCTGTTATCTTGTCTCCTTTAGCCACTCTGTGTTATTTGTTCGTCCCCTGTTTGTTTTGTTGCTAACGCCTTACGTTTAGACTTAGTTTATAGTTCGCTTGCTACCTAGTGTGCTTCCTCTACCTGATGTTATTGTTTATCTGGTTATGATCTGTCAGTTGGTGTTTAGCGGTGTTTTGGTATTTTCCTTATTTCTGATCTGATCCATGTTTAGTGTTGTCCTGTTTCCTGGTTGGTCCTATCTCTGTTCCCTACCCTGTTCTGTTTAACAGTTGGTCCATGTTTTCTCTGTTGGGGTTTTGTTCCTTGTCTTGTGTTCTCTATTTAGCCTTGTTTATTCCATGGTTCATTTGCATGCTCAGTTTTGCTCACTTAGCATCTGTGCTGTCTCTGATCTTTTCAGTCTTGCATTTTAGTTCTGTGACTTGAGTTAATGTCTTTGTGTTTACTCCTAGCTTCAGTCTGTTTTCCCTGTTGGTTGTAGTTTATTTGTGATCTGTCTGCTTGTGTCTGAATGAGTTTGTTATATTATTCTGTTCTGTTACTTCTTATTTTGACATGGCCTATGTTTAGTGTTCAGTAACTTGTGTTATGTCTGTTCCCCCTCAATAATCTCCCTGCCTACTAGTCTCCCTGTTTTCCCCTGCTGTCTCTCTGCCTGCCTCTGTCTCGTTAGTCTCATGTCTCTCACCTGTGTATCCCCTCCCAGCTCGTTAACACCGTGTATATATGCTTGCTTGTTTCCCTCAGTCTTTGTCTGGTCAGTGTTGTATGATGTGTGTTCTGCAAGTTGCTGCATTACCTGTTCTGCTTTTTGGATGTTGCTATTTTCTACTGCCTGTGAGTTTTGTCTGTTGCCTTGAATTAAAATCCCCTGAACTGTGTGTCTGCTCTCTAGTGTCGTGCATTTGGGCTCTTTTCTGCTTTGCATTCACCGAACCCTGACAGTGCCGCTGCCTGTCTTGGCCAGGATGCTCTAGTAAAAGCGTTTTAATCTCAATGAGACTTGTTAAATCAAGTTATTAGAATAAGACACACTAAAGTGCTACAGGTGCTGTGAAGTGGATTTTATCTGAGTAGGTATTGCAAGAGCATAATGCAACCAAATGCAACAGTTAAGTGTTTTAAGTGTGGATCTTGTCGTTCTGAAGACATCTGCTCCCTCTCCTGCTGAGACTCAACAGACTCTTATGTAAAAGACATCTGCTGTCCTCAATTATCAGTCTGATTTTTGTAGTGTACGTGTATACTGGCTTGCAATTCATTTTTGAACACAAGATATCTTGCCGGCATCTTGGACGGGTCCCTTGAATCCATGTCAAAATCCTATGCATAAATCCATAACTACTTTCAAGGAACAAGGTGCAAACACCTTGCATTAGACATTAGGAGACTGAAAGAGGGAGAAAATAATAGAAAAAAATTCAGGTAAGATGAGAACAGTCAAGTGAGCAACATAAATAATACCTATTATTGTCAAAAAAAAAAAATGGTGTGTGCGTCCACACTCAGAGGGTGGAGATTTGACACCGAAAAAGCAGAAGAGCAGAAACATTTACCCAGCATTACATGGGAGAGCATCTGAGAGCTCTGCTATTGCAGGCCTGTCACAAACTATTCCAGAGGGGCAGGGTGGGCATTCGTCATCTCCCTTTAGTCCCCGGGAAATAGAAAGAGAGCCTTTAGGGCAGGGGAGTGGATAGCCAGTGCCAGAGGGGCAGTAGTGGCCAGAAGGACAAAGATAGCTTCTGGTAGTATTGCTCTGAGAAAAGGGAGAAAAAATAAAAACAAGTTAACATTAATGAGATTTGTACATTTGATCCCAAATGCACTAATGCAGGGAAAGCTTGTGGAGTGACCAAAATGGGGAACAGAAATTTATTCAGTGAAGTTCATGGTAAACACACAGTTAGACTTTACTATTTCTTGTGCACCAGCAGAAAGTGCGACAGTGGCGACAGAGAACAAGATCACCTGATATTCAGTAGAGTTAGGGCTGGTTGATCCAGCAGGACAATAGTATCCTGCTTCACAAAGTCCTGTTGGCTGGGACAGACCAGGTTGAGAGCAGAACATTCCTGCAGGAAACACCAACAGAATAAATAATCATAAAATAAATGTAACACACTGAATTTAATCTGTTTTTTAAATTCAATTAGGGTTAAATTATTATGAAGTAATTGTCCTTCTTTAAGGGTAATATTACACAGGTTTCAGGTAAGCCAAAGGTGACAGCCTGTGACTCTCCAGAACAAATAAATCAAACAAAGTGGTCCATCTCCTAGGTAAGCCAAGGTCAAGATTAGTTCATTTGATTTGATTTGATTCAAACAGACTGGCTGGCACTCTTTAGAAGGTGTTGTATGTGACTTAAATGACACAACGTGAATTAGGTTAACTTAAGTAAGCACAGCATCCTTGTTTTGAACCAATTCCCAATAGAATCTTCATACATGCATAGATGGGTGAATAACCTTATTTGGACACACAATGAATCTCTGTATGTTTAGGAAGGATAAATATTCCCCGATAGTAAGTATCCTTCAGATTTGTTTTGGTACTACACTGTTTTTTCAGTATGTACTGCTGATGCCTTTGTCTCCCAGCTGTGCTTCAAGAAATCTTGCTGCTTAAGACATCCTGAGTTTTCTGAAGATATGTCAGTTAAGGTCACATCAAATTTCAAATGAAGGTTTTTACAATTATTGGTTTTGTAAATTCTGTTCTCAGGAAGAGCACAGCTCTAAGGGTGTGTCCTGAAAAGTACTTAATTATGGATGATGTTCAATGAGCAACATTCCCGTTTATAATGACTGTATTTGACTGCATTTGGAAAACCTAATTTGATATATTGACGCTGAAATTAGCACATTTTATTCAGGAGAGTTCACTTAATTTAAAAATTGCTTAATTAACCAAATTTAATTTAATGAATGTCTAACCAGCCAGACTTAGTAATCAGTTAGAGATAAATAATCCCAAGAATGCCAATACTGACAATTAAAACAGTTTTAAATACACCACAGAGTATTTCATGATAATGCAGTTACTGTAACACAGGGTTACACATTAAAATTATACTTACTTACACTTCTAATTAGAAAGAAACACCATCGGCTGCTAAGTATAGCAGTAATACATTCTTCATCAATAAGCATTACATAGCTCAAAAGAATTTCCTATTATGTAGAATAAAACACAAATCTTTCCATACCAGCAGGGCAGGGCAGGCAGGCATCAGGACTGAAGGCTCCAAGCTGGCTCTGCACAGTCCCAGGTGGGCAAGGGAACTCCAGTCCTATGGTCAGTCCTGGAGGACAGTAGTATCCAACAGCACACAGTGCAGGCTGTATAGTACCTTCAACTGAGCCACACCAAGAAGAATAAATAAACACAGATGACATCTGATGACACCAATTAAATGAACATCATTTCCACAACATTGGAATGTCTAAAGTTTTTGACTTTGAAAATATTCAGCTGCATAAATTTTAAAAATGGACACTCCGACAGGATTAGCAGAGACAAAGAAAGGTGTAACCTCTATTAGCTGATGGCCTTAACAAACATGTTTTTGGCCATATCAAGAATTAATGAAGCAGTTATGACAAACATTCAAACCATGTCATCACTTCAACTTTACTGTGACATCATAATATCCTGAAAATTTTTTGGGCTATTATACAACACCATAACTCAGGCACAGAAGGGGAGATTGGACCATATTGGAGTGCGCCTAGCTAATGATGATATGTGAGCGAGTGAGCTTCACCTATAGCTCAAAGAGAGGCTTTGCATCTAAAAATGCCAGAAGAAAACAAAAGCAGCATATTGTGTAGCTATAATTTAAAACAATCCTTCTTTACATTGTAATCAAGTACATGTGTACCTGTTTTGCCAACACATCTGTGATAATCCTTCATTTATCAGTTCAACAATGAATATTTCACTGGTAACATACATATGTATCATCAATATAATGATAACTTCCATTTAGCCAAAAATACACATACTTTCTATTCAATTCCTTCTGAGTATTTACTACAAATATTAGAATGACTTTGGAAAATCCCAGAGAATCGGTGTGAATTTCTTGCTTTCATTAAAAAGTGAACATATGGGCTTGTAAATATTTGGCTAGCTAGCCAGTGATTAGTGTCCTTTCAACATGTCTGTGATGATAGCTGTGTACCTTATTAAAATAACTTAAAAAAACATGTCCTGTGGCTGTCCTGCATGCTAATCTATTGTGACTACTGCTGGAAAATAAATCTATCTATACCCCCCACAGATTTCTCTCTGTAGTGGTGGTGATGGAGTAGCGGATAAGGCTCATACCTTTGGTGTGAGAGACCCGGGTTTGAATCCACTGTGAGACACCAATGTGTGCCTGAGCAAGACACTTAACCCCTATTTGCTCCAGTGGCGTGCGACCTCTGTCGTATATAGCAATTGTAAGTCGCTTTGGATAAAAGCATCAGCTAAATTAATAAATGTAAGGTAAATGTATGATTGTTGAATGTAGTAAAATGCTCTTGCTCTTCTTGCTTAAGATAACTCTAGAAAAGGCCATGTTTCCCACCTGGACAGTAGTATCCACGGGTACAGGTGGTGCAGTTGTCTTGATGTATGTTGCCTGTTTCAGAGCTAAATGTTCCTGCAGGACAAGGCATGGGGACTGGTGTTCCACTAGGACAGAAGAAACCAGCTGGGCACAGAGCTGTGTCTGCTCTGCTAGAGCCCCAGCCACAAAAAAACCCTGCCCAGCAATCACCTAGCACAAAAGGGAAAACCACAAGTTCAAATGAAGGATTTAATCTTTGCAATGTATCAAATCAGCCAAAATTGCATAAAGAAATTACTGAGAAACCTAAACATACACACTTATTCTATCTACCTGCACTTAATCCCTGTTGGCAGAAAATCCCAGGTGGGCAGAGAGATCCAGTTCTGTTGTCAGTTGGGTTTGGCACTGTGGCACCCATCAGGCAAAGAAATCCGGCAGCACAAGGTCCTGAAGTCTCAACCAAACCTTCAGATCCACAAAACTGACCCGCTGGACACATTAGGCACTCACCTGCAAACACAGATTGACAGCTTTGACCTCAGTCCAAAGTAGCAAAACAAGCTACTTGCCAGGTGAGCTCAATTGTGTCTCTTAGACTCTGTCAATGTCTTAAAGCAAACTAAACTGAGGAAGATAATTTAAAGAAAATATGCTTTGTTTCACAAGTCTTGAAATTATAAATAATTTACTCTCCTAATCAGTCTTTAAATTATTTACTATTTTATACATTTTCACAAAAAGCCAGACAAGTGCACCTGATCTCTTTTCTCTGGGTTTTTACCTGTGGTGGTGAGACCCTGGTTGGGGCTGTAGGTGCCTTTGGGGCAGGGGAGAGGCTGACTGTTTGGACTCTCCCTAGGACAGACGTAGCCAGCTGGGCAGGGCAGAGGGCTGATGGGGCTGGGACTTAGGGACTGGCAGTAGAACCCAGGAGGACAAGCATTGCACTCTCTTTGGCCTGATAAATCCTGGAACCAGCCTGGCAAGGACATTTAAACAGTGAAGACATCTTCAAAGAGGGTGAGGGAAATTGTACAGCTAAAATAAAAGTCAGTTTGGCTGTTTACCAAGAGGGCATGGTTTGCAGTCATCTTTGCCTTTTCCTCCAGTTGCATTTCGGTATGAGCCAGCTGGGCAGGGTGAGGGTACACTGCTGCCCTCTGCACAGTAGTGACCTGCTGGACAAATACCTCCAGATACACTTGACATTGGAGTAGCAATCTGGGATCCCTCTAAACAGTAGAAACCTGGAGAGAATCACTTCAATAAGTGTTTGTTTAAGCTTCACTTTTATATTAACTAGGATTATGTATCATGCAACATAACTAAATTCCCTGTCTTATTTCAGACCTGGCAAGCAGGGTCCAGAGACTCCAGAGAGGCCGGTCTCTGAACAGTAGAAGCCAGGACTGCAGTTGCGACACTGAGACTCATCCATAAGCCCGCTCTGCTCACTGTCAAAAGATGTGAACATTTGAATAACTATAAACCGCAGTAGTAGTCAAGTGATAGAATGTAATTATTAAAGGATAACACTTCAGATTACATCTCCTGTTTTATCACTCTGTTATATTTTAGTAAGCATTACCTGCTTCAATGTCTGCAGATTTCATTACATAAGTACAATGTTTAGTCACCACATACTGTAATACTGTAAGATCAGTGTAGTTTTAGAATTCAAATCATCTTACTTTATTGTCTTATAAAAATTTGTCTGTGGTAATTAAAGATATGAGGAAGATGTAATTGAAAGATTAATACAGAAATATGAACCTGAATGTTCCTTTTGGGCATGGTTTTGGTACAGATGTCCCCACAGAGCAGAAGAAGCCAGGAGGGCATGGGAATCCAGTCAGACTGTCAAGTGGTGAAGGTGCAGAGGCCCCCCCAATACAAACAAACCCTGCAGCACATGGCCCACTGGGGGAAGTCCTCCCTTTAAACAAATAGCATCCAAGCAAGTTTTTAATCACCCTAACAGGGTAGCCATTTCCCTACAATTGATTATAAATACACCACTAAATTTATGCTGCAGCTCTCTGCAAGATAGATATATTTGTGAGAAATACACAAAAGTAACTGATAGGGTCAGAGGAGTGGGTGCATTGTACCTGTTCCTTTACAGTACATCCCAGGGTCACACAGTGAGCACTGCCATTCCGCAACCAGCCCTGAGATGTTTCCGTAGGTTCCTGCTGGACAGGGATGTTGATTTGCTGATCCACTGGGACAATAATGTCCTCTCTCACATGGAATTGGAAGGGTCATTCCTGATGTACAGATACAGTATAAATAGATTTATGAACCCCTAGCTGCTAAAGGCTTTGTCACCCAACAATTTGTCAATCCATCAGCTTTACCTTCATCTTGACAATAGGTACCAGCAGGGCATGTCTCGCAGCTGCCCTGGCCTTGTTTTAGCTGGTAACTGCCTGGAAGGCAAGCTGTCTGTCTGACACTGCCCTGGAGCAACCATTAAATAGATTTTATTAGACTTTATTTCAGGGGAATAACATGCACCATCAGGTTTAATCATGCTGCAACAATAACAGTAGAGACACAGCACAGGAAGAGGACTTAGACAGTCGAGAAAAACATCAGTTGACTTATAGTATGCAGTAATGCACACACAGAGACATCACACACTATTCAGCAACGATGACTGACAATAGCTTGAAGGCTAATACTAGATGGATGACCTTCTCACAACAATGTCCCGCTGAGCAGACATGTTGTTGTGGTCTCTCAGAGCTCTGTCCCTCAGGACAGTAGTAGCCTTCTGCACACTGGCCACTTGGCTCAGCTATTCCTCTCTGGTGGCAGTAGTGACCTGCAGGACACAGCTGACAAGCCTCGACTGTAGCCCCACCAAGAGAACCTGACAGATAGCAGACAGTATACATATCAAATGGAAATTAAATATTTAAAGTATTTAAAGTATTGAATTGTTTGGTGTTTTAACTATGCAACCATGTGTACACAGTGTTTGTTGACTTGCAAAAATCACCAAATCACTTTGTAAGTTGATGTAATGAAAGCATTAAAATAGATAACAATGTTAATGTGATACAAAGTGCATACCTATTCCCTCATCAGTTTCTAATTCATAACCACACAAAGGAGATACAACACATTTTAATAGGATTCTACTTGTCCGCCGCGAGACAAGAATACTATTACGATTAAATCACTTTGTGACTGAAATTATTCATAGGCGCCCAGGGGAAAGAAAAAAACCTTCACTGGAAGTTTTCAAATTTCTCTGCATCACTGAATTGCAAAGATAGACACCAGTTCATGTAAGGACATTAGCATGAAAAACTGACAATGTGTGCAACAAAGAGGATTAGATGTTTCGCAGTTTAGTATTGTGTCTGATAACTCATTCATCTTTAATTCATGACTGAAAAAGGGGGGTCGATTACTGACTTGTCCTGAATTGTCTCTGTTTTCAAACGTAGAGAAAACACGTTGCAGTTTTCTTTTGATAATTAAATTGTTCACAAAATTCAAACAATAAATTAGATTATTAGATGAATCTAACAATTACAGCTATATTACAAAAAATCTCACTTTTTATGGTTCCAAGAGGGCAGGCCATAGGAAGAGGAGTTCCACGGGGACAGTAGTGTCCGGTGGGACAAAGGGTGGTATGAGGGTTCAAAGAGCCTTTGGGGCAGTAATATTCTGCAGCACAGAGCCCTGCCGGGGCATCTAGACCAGTCTGGTTACAGTATGAGCCAGCCTCACAGGGCTGGGGATAGGCTGAGCCCAAGGGGCAATAGAAACCTGGAAAACAGACACAAAAAGTATCACGGAAATAAATCAACCTTAGCAAAACCAAAAGTCCAATCAGGAGGATTACTGTTCATATGCACACACTCCTTTCTAGAGATTTTCACAGTCTGAACTTTTTATTCCCACATGCCTATTTCCTGCTTATTCTATTTACAGATAACCCTCAGATTATTTTATGTTCCAGGGGGCAGTAATTACTTTGCTGCAAGAATTTAAATCTGTTCCTTGCTCTGACATCACTTCACCATCCAGCCATCTCCAGCTTCTGAAGAATGAAGTGCAACTCCAGCATTTAGGCTTTCAGGACTTCAAATATTGAAATTTTCATCAAAGAGTAATCTGCAGGTGGAATTCTATTTGCATATCTACCAGCATTTATCTTGTTACAGCATCAGGACAATCATTTCATCATGGGGTGTCATTGACAAAACCTTTTCTGTAATTCTTGACTTTTTAACAAAACTAATCATGCAGTTTTGTGTGAAAAAACATTCATTCTTCAAACCACCTTGTGGTACCACCATGAAGTGGTAGTATAATATAATATAATATAATATGCTACACACTAGACAGATCAGATTAAATTGTGTTGAATGGGACTACCATTTCATGAGCAAAAAAAGACTGAGGGAATGAGCAAAATATTACATCGAGTGCACAAGTTCACTGTCAGGATTTACCCACCCCTAGGGCATATATCTCCTCTGTAGGTGGAACATGCATAATGTGGACTCTTGAGACATGGCAGTGGGTGAATCACAGCATGGTCTGAATCAGCCCGTGGCGCCGTTACCTCTTCGATCCAGCTAGCGTCTCTCCCTATAACAGAACATGGCACATAAAGCATGAAAGATGTCTAAGTTAATATCTTTGTCTGGCAGACAGGAACCCAAAGAGGAGCCACTCTTCCCTTTCTACATGCTGATTTAACAGGTTCAACTGCCAAGGGAACATCTTTTTACAATATAACACTACAAGGCAATGATTAATTGTAAAATACTTAAGAGGAAGGTCAAAGTGAAGAGCTGCTGCTCTGTGGGACATTTATCACAACACGTAAGACTTTCAACTCTGGTTGAATAGTTTGACGAAATTGATGTACTGCCCTTTCAAGGGAAGTATTATTGTTTTATTACAAACTGAAGAAACCCATAATTTACCAGAAGTACTGGAGCTATTGAAGCAGCACATATTATGCATCCAGGGGCGGCACCTGTCATTGCAGCATAAACCTCTAGTATTTCACAAAGACCGCTGAACAAAGATGAGATGGCTCGGGGTGTGGGGCTATCAGCACCTCCAGAACAGAAGAAACCTGCAAAACACAGACCTATCCGAGAGAGGTATTAGAAAAGTGTTGCAAGCAAGGAATGATTATCTGTCTCATCATATGTAATTTTGGCCTAATAATTAGACCTGAATTGCCATTTAGTTTCACTTCATTACTCATATTTGCATCCTGGAAACAGTGGTTGATATGGGCAGCAATTGATGGGACTGGAACTAGGCTAACGTGATGTGTAACCTCTGAACCTGTACAGATGAAATCCCCCACCTGTAGGCTGTGAGCCTCCAGGACTGAAGCAGTATTTCCCTGGGGGACAAGGGTGGCAGTCAGAGGGGGAGGAAGCTCCAGTCTCTGGGAGGAAGCTGCCAACAGGACAGGGGTTGGGTGACCCACTACCCTGAGGACAGAAGTATCCCATGGGGCACACATCTCCAAAAGGATGGGAGACAGGAGAAGGCTCAGTGGACCCCAGGGAACAGAAATACCCTATGGTAGATATAAGGTTAGACATCTCACTGAAAACACTGTAACATTTACAATGTAGGATAAATATTCAGGACAAACTGAGGCTTAATGCAGTAGAGGAAAAGACATTCTTATAGCTCAGTTCTCTGACATCATTTCCCATGGTGATGCTGGACTGTCAGACCTGGGCTGCAGGGTCCAGAAGGCTCTGTCAGAGCACTTCTGTTACAGAAATAGCCAGAGGGGCAGGGGGAGCAGTCAGTCAGGGATGTCCTGCCAGATGATGGACTGACACTGCCCATCGGACACGGAGATGGCAGAGATGAACCCTCCATACAGTAGAAACCTGGACAGGGTGGTTTATCTCGTTTTATAAGAAGGTCACCCTTTTTGTCTTTCTGTACAGTTTATAGTATGAATGTGAGTGCACAGGTGTTTGTTTTAATTACCTGGTGGGCAGGTGTTACACGTGGACTGTCCAGATGAAGATTGAAAAGTGCCAGGGTTACAGATGGCTGGCTCTGCGCTACCATTTGGGCATCCATGGCCAGGTGGGCACTGACATCCTGTGACACAGTCAGATTAAGTTCAAACTGTAATCTGGTGCCTCCTTGTTTTCACTGAAAACAAGAGTAATGTGTATATACAATACAGTCCTAATGTGATCTTTAAAAATATATTTATGTGGCAATTATGTATGAAAGAAAGCATGGCTGCTGTATTTCACCATGCCTAATGGGGTACTATGGAAACAATGGAGAAGAGGGTGAGTAATATTCATCCTGTACAAAAATCCTGTGGGAGGCAAAGAGAATAGAAAGCAGGCTCTACAGCAGGTGCCCTCACTCTGACAACAACGAGCTGGAGGTTCTTTATAGGTTGTGGGCCACTCCATGCTCAAATTAGCAAAACGTCTTCTCGAACTACTGCTAGCAAATAAAGTATTCGATGAAGTTAGTAGATGAAAATAGTGTTCCAAATAAACCATCCATCATGGGTTGAGAAAATTCTCCTACTTCTAAGGTTAAATAAACGATTAAAAGCCCAATTGGATTATCAGAAACAAAAACTAAAACATCAGATAGATTAGTTGTTCTAGGTGAAAGATGACCTAATAGAGAAACCCACAGGCACTAGGGGGAAGAGAAAAGCATAAAAGGGATGTTATCCTTCAAATTTGGTGTTGGCATGTGATGTGTTCACATGCAGGCACTGTATCTTCACCGAAACTTCTTCTTCACTGGACCTGGCTCACAATATTTCTTCAACACACAGGACACATTGACAAATACCATACATACCATGTTGACATTGCTAATAGTATTTTGTGCATCACCTTTCAGTGAAAATGTGTAATATCATTCATGTGTAGTGTGAAG